TCATGGAGACCACCAAGTGTTAGAAATAGTGTGATGGGCTCAGCCCTATGTTCCCACATTTCTAAGAATGTTTTGAAAATTAGGCCCTATTTTCCCACAGTCTTATATGTTCCCATAAGCCCATGTCCACACTAACCCGGGTAATATTTATCCGGTTAGCCCTTCCGTCCACATTAGAACGGTGAATTCCGTAACTGAAAACAATGCTTTACAAAAACGATCGCTGAGGTGGATAAATGTGAAGACGCCGTGGAACGTGGATGCAAAGCGTTCTGAAAGGGTATAAAAGGGGAATATAGGGCTGTGGGAACATAGACATGCTCCCGTGTAATCTCCATAACAACCAACTAACTAACTGAGCTGCATCATTTAGGTAGACCATGAGATGTGGTGGAAAGGTCCAGAAAAAGCTCATAGGTGGATACTGAGTTAAGATTTTGTCCAAACACATTAATCTGTTCTATGAAATGCTACTTTTCTCTATTTTCTTAATTTCCAAAATGTCTCAATTAACTGCTTTAATGTGTTTCGTGAAGTGTTCAGTCTTGCACTCAGGGCCGCCATAAGGTCAACGGTCACTAGACAAACAGTCGGGGGACACACACACAACAGGTGACATTACCAACACGAGCGTTATTCTCAATATCTAAAACACGCAAACAATTCTTGTATTACTTCCTGAGTCGGCAATAACCGGCGAGAGATGAAGTGAACTTACTTAGACACATAATAGAGTCCATACATTTAATCTCCCCACAGACGCTGAAGGAGTCCCCCAGGACGGTGTTACATCGCGCGCAGTGGAGAGTCATCTGTTCCTCGTGTCGTGCCTCTGTGATCAGTTTAAAATCGTCAAAACGCTGCATTAAGAGGCTCTCATCATATTCCATGTTGCTGAAGTTTTACGGAGTCCGGCTAGCTGACTGTCCCGCCTGAGAGTCTGAACTCTGGACCAAGTGGCAAACTGCCGTGACGTCACCCATTGGTTTGTGAACTGCCTCTAGTTTGGCTTAATGGACGTCGCCATCTTTTTTGGAGCCAGAAGAAACCATATTTGGCTAAGCTATGAAGTATTATTTTTTACATTTCTATTATAATTTTATACTTACTACTAAATAGGATTTATCCACCTCTCTTTATTATGCAAGCTTTTATTTTTAATTTGTCAGTTACAGTTGATTGTAAATTGCACACATTATTTATTCATCCATTTATTACATTCTTTTGTTCACGTCTCCAGTTGATTGTAAATTGTTGAAATTAATACAGTTTTAATGTGAAATAAAGTTTTTTTATGAAGCTTTGCTTTGTTGATGGTTTTTATGGAGCGTGTCTGGTATGAATTTTAACAGTAGCAGCAGCACAGTATAGAAATCACAACACACTGAAGTTTTTCCTGAATTTTTAATTAATCAAAGACTTTCTATGTTGCTTTAAAGATTAATGGTGCTTCATATTGTAGAAACTGCACGGCCCTGAGAGCAAGTTATGATATACCAGAATTATTCTTTAACGCTCACAGATGCTGACATGATGGTGAAGAGAGCCTGAAAACAAGAAATCAGAGTAGTTAATCATATCTTTTATTGCTATGTGCTCCCCATTACAACAAACAGTATCAGTAGTGTACACTTCAATCTACACAAATACATAGAAAAGCGAATAGAGCAGAGAGTGACTGACAGTCATGACAATCGTAATTCTTCAATGCATGGATAGCACAGGGGTATTGATACAGTACATGGAGAATCCTATGCAGTAATATCTGTCTGAGGCTCAGGGATTGTCAATGTAACATCTACAACTATCCTATTTATCATTACAAGCTCTCTATAACATTAGCAGCAATGTTTTATAGGCAGCAAGTAAAGGATGTGAAAAGAACTGGGGAGGAAAATGTAAAATGGTTAGACAACACTGACAACTACAAACAGCATAAAAAAACAACTTTACTTGTTTACTGGTACTACACTATTTATGTTTTATTGGTTAAAATAAAGCATTTGTCTGGTCAGTACATGTTGCTGCGATGTAACAGCTCGGTTAACGACTTCTACAAAACAGCTGTGAAAAGACAGCTCTCTGACAAAAGGTAAAACATCTCAAAATAGAGCATGTATATTTACATCTAATTGTTTGCAAAAAACAATGTCATTTCTAATCTATCAAGTTTTTTTTAAAAAGTAGAAATCCAGTTAAAATTTGAGAATGTGGATGAAAAAAAAACATCAGTTTTCAATGGTTTATCCGTTGCAGCTTATTGATCAGCTGGCACCGCACATGCTGTAAAAACAAAGCAGAACCCTTTAACTTTCAATAAATATTCATGTACTCAATGCTATATACATGTACTATACATTGGCACACAGGAGTGAGTGTGAATAGTTGCGAGCTATTTCTTTGCTGAAAACACAAAAACTGTGTTTTTGCTATTGCAGTCAGATGCATGGTGGTTGTGAGGAAATCCTTTTTTTTTTTTTTCAATAAATAGCTTTCTCTCTCCTGAACCTTTCTCCACCATAAAAAAAGCCATTTTAAAAATACTTTGGAAAAAAAAAAGAAAATAAAAAGAAAATAAAAACATGTTCCACATACAGTAAAACTCTTGAAAGTCCAGCTTTTTGTGCTTACAATGAGGCTTTGTTCCAGCAAACACAAACTGTATAACAGAACCTTATTCAGACTGAAGGGTGTAGTAAGATTAAAGCTCCATTAAGCACATTTTTGAAATTTGAATTGAACTAAATATCTCTGTGTAATGTGAAAATGTGCTGAACCCACTGAGAGTTGACATCAAACTCTGCAGCTCCACACGGCTTTGAAGATTTGGAACTGACAAGTAGCAGGTGAACACATCGGATCATCTAGCAGCTAAAGAGCTATTTTTTTTTGTTTGAGGAGTTGGTGGAGATCAACTCCTGAGCTAAAACAAGAGTGAAAAATCTGACTTACATTCATCACATTTAGCTGGATGCTCTCTGTCTGCTGGATAAGTAAATATTCAGGTAAGCCATTTGCACTTCATAGGTTAACGGGGATATCAGAGTGTGTTTTAGAGTCTGTCTGTTCCCTAGTGGTCAAAAATTGCTTAATGCAGCTTTAGATGTTTGAAATTCAACAGTACATGTCACTATAGAAAGTAATCTGAAAATACAACACTAAATAGCATTTTCATGAGGAGTGTTTGTGTTTTTCATGGTCACACAATGTAAAAAAACTTCACAACACATTTTCAATGCGTTGTGAATTTCTCAGCTGAACAAGAGCCCACTGTAAGAAACATATAGCATTGAGAACACTTGAAAAACGTGTCCCCTACGTAGTTCCCTTCTTTGACTTGACTGCTTCAATATTTCCGAGCGAGAGCGTTCACGAGGAGGGCGGTACAAAGAGTCAAAAAGGTTGATGGCTAAAACCAAACAAACTTCTCGTTTAGAAAAAGGTAAAGGCCGGGATGAAGATGCTTCTTTAAGGAACAGTGTGACATGCTTGGAAATATGCTCATCCACTTTCTCTTTGAGAGTCATATTCTTATATTGGTATGCTAAATATGATATGGTTTTTTGTACGAATAAACAAACAAGACTTTAGAGGGCTAGCCGTTTCCCCCTGTTTCCAGTCTTTATGCTAAGCTAAGCTAACTATCTCCTGCCTGTAGCTTCATATTAAGTGTACAGACATGAGATTGGTTTCAGTCTTCTAATCTAACTCTTGACAAGGAAGTTAATGAGGGTATTTCCCAAAATGTCAAACTATTCCTTTAAAATAATAATAAAAAAAAAAAAGTCAGGGAAAACTGCCCCAGAGATTTGGAATAATGTGGAATAATGCACCATTCATCCGTTCACACTGATGTCAATACAGTGCTACTGAAGGTAAACATTCAGAAGAATCTCTCTTACTCTAATTGATTAAAAAGGGTGTTTGAAAGTATCCTTAGCTTTTTAAAATAATACTGATATTTTCATGTACAGTATTTACAGGAACTTTTATAAATACCCATTTCCATAGAAACCGTAGAGTGCCACTCAACAGACATTGCTGGATATAAAAAAAAAACAAAAAACTATACAACTAAAACCATTTTCCTCATGGTCTTCACTCGTACATCTCTGGTCACTTTCCAAAGTCCGGGGTTTGATTTAGTATATGCAGTGACCCTACAGTGACCCTTTATATATGTTTTTTTGGCAAGAAAATGGCAGTTTGTAACATTCAAGTAAAAGGGGATTTTCAGCTGTGTCAGATGATCTGTTTTAGATCTTTAAAACTTTTTTGTCCGTTATCTTTAACTTCAAAATCATAGCAAACTAAATCATCAACATGACAACTGTAACTATTAACGCTCAAGATGTGTAGTGATTTTTTTTTTCTTTTACAAGTGCAACATGTACTTCTGCACTACTTCCTGTATCTACTTCTGTACTGGGTGAGTTCTTCTTGTGCGAGTCTGCAGTTGTTTCCAAATTGAATCAGCTGTAACTGACGGCACCTGTTGACATGTTCGCTCTCTCCATCTGCTGAGCGTTTGCCGGAGGCCCCCGCTGCACCCCTCCACACACACACACACACACACACACACACGCACACACACACACACACACACACACACACGCACACACACACACACACACACACACACACGCACACACACACACACACACACACACACACGCACACACACACACACACACACACACACACACCCCAGGTGCCTGATTCATTAAATGAAGAGAAAAGACGAATCAGAGAGTAAAATGCCGACACCTTCCTGCACCTGTCCCCTCAGTGGTGACATCAAAGAAAAAAGCTTCAAGACTTTTTGTGTCAAAAAGTCAAGAGTCTGATTGGAATTAAGCAACAACTTCTTTGTAATATCCAGATGTTTAAAATTTGGAGGCAGTGTGGTAAATACAAGCGTATTTTGAATATAAAACTGTCCTTTGGCTGTTTTTGTATCCCTGAAATTATTCTCTATGAACTATCAAAGCTGTGTTTCATTAAGCTTGAAATTAATAATCATTTTTTCGTCTAATTATGAAGTGTGAAAGCGAGGTGACACGGGTGTTTCACTTCAAATACTATGGGAGCTCATTGTAAAATGTCAGAGTGATATTTAAAGTCAGAGTCGGGGGCAAAAAGGGAAGGGAAATTCTTTACAACAAAGTGAACCAGCACTTTTCTCTCTCTCTCTCTCTCTCTCTCTCTCTGGTGTTTTTGGCATGAGAAGACTCAAGATGAAGCTGGATTATCTACTGTACATAAAGAGTCCTGAAGGGAAGGCCGTCACTTTCATCTCTCCACTTTAGAATACGGTGTAGGCCGCCGACTATCTGTCGAGCTGCTCGACCTTTGACCCTTAGCGGGATCTGCCAGCGGAGATGGTGCCATGGCGGGCAGCTTCCTGCCAGTGAGACCCATGTGCCGTGGAACCCGTCTCGGTGCCGTGGTGATCTTGGACTGGGTTTTCTTGAGCGGAGCAGGGGTCGTGATGTGTCTCGCGGCATTGCCTGACGTGGCGGACGCCTTGCCTGAGCCTTGTTTAGCACCGCGAGTGGCGTTTGCCGCTACAGAAGCCGTTAATGTCTCCAGGAGCTGAGAGGCTGATCCGAAGCGGATGTGCTCCTCCGTCTCAGCCGCCTCGGTGAACAAGGATAGAGCTCCGCTGCGCTTGCTGCAGGACTCGCAGCACAGTTTGTTGTACCCTGGAATCGAGCAGTACCGTGCGAGGACCTCCATTTGGCAGAAGATGGATTTGTCCCCGTTACAGGGCTCATCTGAAAGTTGAAGAGCATACAGTGTGAGCTCAGTGCGTGCCACAGAGCTGAAAAGTGAATAGTGGTGAGACGTAGCCTTGGACAGGGATCTCAAAAGATGAGTGGAAGTAGATGGACTGCAGAGCACTGAGGCATTGATTTTAATCAGAGACTGACAGCTGAGGGTTTATGTTATGAAAACAACTGTAGCCACAGCAAAGTGAGCAGTGAAGTCTGTTGGACAAAAGCTGTGACCGACTTTTAAAGTACAACATACTAATTCTAAATGGGTTTTGAGTTAGCCCCAGTCCGTGCCTCACATATTATCTTTAGCCTTACATTCCAGTCACAGTGGTAGCCTAAGTGTTTGTTTCTCCAAAAGACAAATAAAACAAAACAAACAGAAAATCAATCTTATAAAGATTTACAGCTGTTCTGCAGAAATTTCCAGAATCCTCAAAGACTCGTAACCATCTGGATGAAAAAATGTGTCCGCTGTGTAATAAAGATTTTTAACCAGTTTCATAAGTGGAGACTCTAATCTTAATCCCAACAAAGATGGTGTGTGGTGGCTACAATCTTTTCACTGACTCAAATGGAAAGCTAATACATGAGAGGCACAGACTGGGACTAGTTTTGAATATGTAGCTTGATCACACTGGGAAAGTGTCCAACTTAAATCTGTTCGTATTCATACTGAAAAATGCTTGATTTTTTTGTGTGTGTGGTTGATGGACACTGTTATCCATGCAAGACACAGAGGAGAAGAAATTTGAGGGAAATTTATCTGCAAACATAAAAACACACAAACCATTCACTTCCATACATTTTGCTTTCTCTAGCATGGCATGATCCATTACAACATTGGTGCATATGGCACCTTTATCTATTGTACACTAACCTCCGACCCACTTTACTATGACAATTCATATATTGTACATACTGTATACTTAGTAAAAAATTGTAATTAATAATAGAGTGCTGCAGGAAAGAGTCATAAAAACTGGAAATTAGTTGCATTTGAACACTTCCACTTCCCTCATCCTGAAGTCTCTGGGTTTTTAGATAGATGACTGAAAGAAGGTCTGTGGTTAACACAAGGAAATTTCCATGTTTTATTCTGCAACATAAAATACGTCAGTAAATACCACGGTCGGTTTTTCTTTAAGCTTTTATGTGTCTTAAAAAAAGGCGGTTGCTAACAAGTGGCTAAATGAGGCTACAGAGGTTGTCGGGGATGTTAAACGTCATCACACTGAACATGAAAGCAGATCTACTCACCAGTCCACCTTTACAGCCTCGTTGGGTTTATACTTCACTAAGCTCGTAGGAGGAAAGGCTTTTCAGAGCTAAATCAAACTATAAGTTGAAAGTTTAGCGGTGTAGTTTGTTTATAGCCGAACATTAGCTTTTTACTTCTGGTGATTGTATTTACGCTTCAAAAATCAATAAAATAATAAAAGTGATTTTCATTTGTGAAATCATTATCTTGAACAAAATGTGTAAGAACTTTTGTTGGTCACAAATGTTATTTTCTGCAGTAATCCAAAATCCCATGTACAACTTCCATTGGCTTTTTAAAATATGTCATCCCTGCAGCGCTCTATTAGCAATTCAATAGTTTTTCGGCTTTCATCAAAACCTCTTTGTCCACCCTCTTTAAACTCGAAACAAACCTGAACCTGCCCTGAATGTAGAACATATTGTAACATCTTCCTGAGTTTCAGCCTTTTGTACATTCACTCCTCATATCAATCGTTTCAAAGTCCTGCATCTCTCTGAATTCACTTTAATCATTATTCTGTGCTCATTCAGAGTGACATATTGATTGACTCTTTAAACCCTTGTACTGCAGCTGCATGTACTGTAAATCAATATTAGATCAGAACAGTATAAGCATTCATGTTCTCCCCTGCTGAACAGAAAATGTGTATTACTGGCATCTTCATCCTGGTTTATCCCTCTGTCTCAGCTGCAAATATCACCTTGGCATTTATGTTTTAATAAATGAGTTCATAAAAGCACTCGGTATACGTCGACCTTTAAGAGTGATGTACAGTGTGGCTGAGACCACTTAGACTTTTGGACCTGACTCTACTTTAACTGACATAGTTAATAAAAAAGATTAACACAGGAAAATGTCACATTTTATTTCCTGTCAGTATTCAATAATGTATCATCATTAGATGAGACTGACAGGAACACAACCACTACACAACAAACATGTCTCCTAGTCAGGTATGATTCGTCACTCTGCTGGACCAAAGCTTGAGTTCAACTTCTCATTTATAAATAAGAGGAAGATTTTGTTACTTCTTCTTTCAGATAGTTTCATAGTCTTGCTTGCTTTCTCCAAGTAGGGTCCAGGGACCCACAGGGAGGAGGCTCCTATTGGTCCCCAGCAAAAAGGGGAATAATTTATTTTGACTATATTTCTATCCATAAGTAACACAATGACAGAAGGTATGAATATTTTGGTTTTGGGTTTAAACACTTTCTGTAATAAAACATCTAAAAGCAAAAAATCTTATCAGATGGGGGTCGCTGGTCTACGCTGCTGAATATTGTACAAACAGTGCAGTAGTTTTGAAAAAGTTTTTCATGTAGTTTTCTTCCTTCCAGGTCACCATTGTTTTCTATTCATTTCTGTGGACAATCAAAACAATTGGGAGACTTGAAACCTGCTTGAGCCCCTATATAATCCATCAGTGAGAAAGTCTATATTATTTTTGTATTGTTGTGAGGCCGGTGAAGACTTTTCCCTGAGCCTGGAGATGAGCTGTATTTACTATCCAACAATAATGGAACTTTGAAACAAAGAATGCAGACTAGATATTCACTGTGATGAATTACACTTACAACTGCTAATTGGTAATAATGCCATACGGGAATTAATTGGAATCAATGACTGCCTGCAAGGTTGGACGATTTGTAGTGAAGGAGGTGAAACCAGCAAAAATGGCTCCTTAATGGCTTGTGTTTGAAACGCAATGACAATCATTGCCTGGAGGACTTGTTACTGGCTTTTATTCTAAAGGAGGCAAAATGTGTTAAATTAGCTTAAAAAGAAACTGCAGCTGAACACTATGATGAACTATGTGTTTGGCTAGAATAGGCATTCACTTTCCTTTGGTTCTTAATAAATGACATGCTCACCATGGCAGGGTCCAGGTCTGCATGGTCTCACAGTCTCAGGTTTTTCTCCATTACACTGATCTCCGATCCGACAAGTGACCAAACGCCTCTCCATCCCCTCCCCACAGGTCACAGAGCACTGTGGGAGAGAGCAAACAGTGAAATCACTCACACACAGCAAAACAAGACAATTTTTGGAGGGCAGAGCTGGAACGAGTTCAGGCAGGTCACACGGGCAACAGCAAATCTCAGTGTGGAGATTCCTCTGAAAATACACAGGAGAATCTGTGAGGAATAAAGTCACCACCAAAACAAAGTCTGCTGGATATTGGGAGGCTTGCGTTGCTGTTGGTTACAGTGGCAATACTTTGTTTTCACTCGGCACAGCGTGTTTACAGTGTCTCGATTGAATTTCTGAGCTGGGCTGAAGAGTTTGTGGAAGAGGAGGCATCTCTTCTTTTTATTGTTTGTGCTGAAGAACAACTTTGATTAGAGGCTCCAATATTGGTTCCAATATATTTTTTGTAAAGTCATTGTAAAACTCAAAACAGTTGAGGGACTATCAGGCCCTTGAACTGTGAATAGGTTTTTATGAATTCACTGAAATCTAAAGCGCTCTGCACAATTCTTTAAATTGGTTTTTGCATAGAAATATATATTTTTCTTTCATATCTCCATCCAGCAGCTTCAAAATACACATAATGATAGTCATGTGGTGGCCAAGATTTGTGCCATGATTTAAGTGAGTCAGGCTCATTACCACTGAGAAATGTCAATTTAACGTGACTTTTTGATTGACTGTGTGACTCCTCCCCAAAATTTTGACAAATTCTAGTCAGTGGTTTCTGAGATATCCTGTAACTATTAGACAAAAAAATGAATAAACTTAACACCCAGGGATGAAAACCGAGTCTCCATGATGGATGTAAAGGGGTCAGTTTGCCTCCAACTAAGTGACTGTTGCATCATTAAACAGCGTCTGAAATCCCCAACCCCGGCACCTCTCTGACATTCAGGACTGAGGAACTATATCCAATATTTTTCATAACTTTTCAAAATTAGCAATCTGACAATGACGCCCACTAACCAGTTATGTGGGGGTGAGAAAGTGAACGTCTCCCTTTTTTATTTTTCATACAACTTCTTCTGTTACTTCTTTGTGCACAAATTAGTGCAACAACCATTAAACCTTTGAGGAGGCAGTTGTTGAATCGCCTCTCTAAGCCAGCAGGCTTTTCAAGTGCGATCTTCTCATAGCAGGAATGAACACTTTTGCCTTCAGACGTGATGGGACAACACTTTCTACAAACTAATTTGTTAAAAGTACACCTTGGCCTAATCTAGAAACAGAAAAAAGATTACATGAAACCTTGAATCAAGTGGGCGTATGTGCTGTGTAAACCCTCAAACAACAATCAGTGGATGGATGAAGCCGAAGCAGCAAGCAAACCATTAATCTTTGGTGGCTTGATCCCCTGATGTGACCCTGGCGATCCCCTGCTGAGACAATCTGTTTACTCCTGAATGAGACAACTACTGAGAGCTGTAGCCCAAATGTTCTCAATGAAAACTTTAAACAAACTGGTTGTAAAACAGTAATTAAAACTTTTATTTTACTATGTCTAATGAAAAATCTCCCAGTTTCAGTGACTATAATCCTAAAAATATAATGTTAGGAGTCATGTATTATTATGAATACATACAACTATTGCTATCATACAACTACTATTGCTGAGTGCTCAAATATGCATATATACATGAATATAAGGAGCTGTATTCCAATAAGGAGGCAGACCATGTTATCAAAAAATCTGAACCCATCTCACATAAATCAACTGCTGACATGAAGAATTGCATCTTATTAGCCTTTATCTCTGCTCCACCACTCAGCTGAACTCCTGATTAATTAGAGCTCCAGCAGCTTCCTGTTGCTTCTAATTCTTCTTCTTCTTCTCTAAAAGTGTTTGTGCCGCAAAAACCTCGAGACCAGGAAACACTATGCTGTCTTGGGATATTCTGCCACTAGGGGCGCCTCAATTGCAAAGAGTTTATATCTCATAATTGGCTGCATGGACTCTGTTCAAAATTCAGTTAGCACAAACTTGGATCAGTCCATGCATAAAATTTGGAAATGATTGATTAAAGTGCGCGTGCCTTATTATTACAAAAATCTCAATTTCTTCACATTTCAAAACTTCCAAACTTCAAGAACATTGAAATCATCCACACGTCTCCAGTGGTGAAATTTTTTCAGCACATCTGCTGAATTGTGACAAATGTTGTCTATATTTTTCCAAATATACAAAATCAATTAACATCTACATCTTCATATTTCTTCATTCTAAAGCTACCAAAATTGACAGACATTCTCCAGATGGTAGACATCAAGTGTTTCAAACAGTGTCTGGACCAGTGAAAAGATGATGTTTCAGTGATATTTATCATCTTGCTGTAAATTGTACAGCGTTGGATTCAAAGTCGCCAAAATATTTGATGTTAAACGGTGTGAGTGTGTTTTAAGGTGAAACAGACAAAAATCTCTCAGTTCTGCCCATGTGATGTCATTTCCTCAGCTTGTGATAAGGTGAGTGCAGCTCATGTTTTTCCAGTGGCGCAGTCAATAAGTCGCCTTCTCTGGAGATGCAAAGGTCAGGTGATCGAAACCCCAGATAACCAATGTCCTACTGTGGCAAAAATGCAGCAATTCATGCATATGTTATCCAAACACATGAGATCTGCTTGGACCCCAACAATTCAAGCGTGCGGCTGCTCTAGTTGGCTTTTCAAATGGAGGAACTAAAACATGTGTTCAGATGAGATGTAACACTGCTCTAAGTTATATATATATATATATATATATATCAGATGCCTCATGTTTTATTTTTGTACATGACCTCATCAAGTTCAGAAATCACAGCTGTCTTGTACTTTAAAGCTGCTGCTGTATCAGCCCCAATCTATGGGAAAATGCTGGTAGCAAGAAAGCTGACATCAGTCAATCGGAAGGAATAATAACATTAAAAAGAAAATCCAAAGAAGAACTGAATTTAACCTCTAAAAATGTGCTCAGCTGTACAAACCTCTGACCAGGCTCCGGTCCTCCACTGAGCAGGACATGGGACTCTGTTACACGGCCTCCGGCTCTCTGGCTTCTCGCCGCTGCAGTATTTGCTGTGGACAGAGCGGTTGGTGCTGTCATGGAGCAACTGTACGCAGCGAACGGTCCGGATCTGAAAGCCCAGGCTGCTGCAGGTTTTGGTACAATACTCCCACTCCTCTGAGACCCACCTGCACAAATAAACACGAGGAGATTACTGAGGATATACAGGAGGTACCAGAACAACACACTCCATTACAAGTAGAAGTCAAATAGCTATTTCAAATATCAAAAGTACAACATTAAGTAAAATAAAGTGGCTTCAGAAAATATTCAGAACCCTTCACTTTTTCCACTTTGCCCATTAATCTACACTAAATGACCAATAATGACAAAGTGATTTTTTTGGACAGAACAGAAAAGGTCATTCGATGATTAACGGGGCAGGAACCAACAAAAAACTAAAATATTCTACACAAATCTGTATTTATTTATACTTTTCTCTACTCTTTTATTATTGAATAATTTTACCTGTTTGAGTTTAAATGAAACAGTCATATACATGTGGAGGTGGAATCCCTCTTTGGTGGAAATATTTAAGCCAAATATTTGTTTAAGCTCTGATAATGTCTTGTATTATATAAACTCATCATATTATTTTTTAGACACCTGTATACACTCATTTACTTTTGTTCTATTCAGTTTGATGGTTGATGGTTTCAACAAACATGTGAAAAAAGTTCTGTATAAATTACAGATCAAAGCCCTGACAGTATCTGTGGACCTGCAGTCACGGTTGTGGAGGCTGTGAATAACATGGGAATGTTATTATTCTGAATAAAAGCAGACACAATTGAAAGAGATGAATCTCTGCATGTCATTTCTTTCTTCTGCAGAACTGAGAATGGAATTCAAAAGCAGGTGTGAATGGCCTAGAGAACACAACTCACTGATTTGGATAGAAAATTAGTTTTCACTTACGTTGCCTTGTCATCAGAAGGTTGTATTGCCAACTACACACCCTCTCACTTCAGTTAATTGGCCTGAGGGGATTCAATGTGTGTGTGGGCGTGTGTATGTTTGCATGTGTGAGACAGTATTAATATTTAACAGAGGATAATGAAATGGAGTGCAGGTAATGAAGAATTCATTGAATATATTATTTGAGGCTCAATAACCCTCAAAATTCTTTCAACATGCAGCTAGATTTTTTTTAAAAACCTAGTTTACTTAAATTACATAATGTCTCATCTTATCATTGGTGATATCTGGTCATACAGAATAATTTGTTAGTCTCAGCCACTGAAACCTGTGGACAATTTCACACAACTTCTACTTTTTGAAAGAAAATAGTTCCAGTTGAAAACTGTTGCCAGCAAGTATCTCAGGGAAACTGGTCTGGACACACAGCTGAAAGTTTATTAGGTACACCTAGCGCAAACTAATCCACACAGTCTACTATAACGTTTACCGTCATGAAGGTTATAATGTTCAGTCCTTCTTGAAATTGTTTTAGAGAGGTGTTACACTCATGTAAAAACACCAAGTGTGAAAAATACCTGAAAAATATTTCTTTATTTTCTCCTCCAAATACGTTTGGCTAACATAATTTATGCATTCATAAAACATGTGATAGTCTGTTTGTGTTTCTTGTCCTGTCATTTGTTTTTGATGTTTTGATGATGTTATTAGTACCAATTAATAATAATTATTATTACCTGGATTTCTGCGATTCACACACACACACACACACCGACATAAAACATTCAGAAGCTGCAGTCTCTCAGAAGTAGATGAAGAAAACAAATCGAACATCTCGATAAGACTAACACGCCCATCTTCAGACGTGTGACAATTAAAAGGAAAAACCTGAAAAATGAGTGGAGAAACAGGATGACAATACTCCCATCCACAGGGCGCATCGTCACCACATCTCAATCGTATTGATCCCCCTGATGGGAGATTTTGGATCGACGTGTCACATCGAAAGCGCTCTGAACCACCACCATCATCAAAACACCAAATGAGGGAACATCTTTTGGAGGAATGGTGTTCATCCTCCAGCAGAGTTCAGAGACTCGGAGAATCAATGCCCAGGAGCATTCAATCTGTTCTGGTGGCCCAGACCTTACTGAGAAACTTAGATGGGTTTTTCCTTTGATTTGTCACCTGCCTGAACATGAAGTTTTCAGTGCTGCTGGATTTCAGTCTGAAAACTGTCAAAGGCACTTAGAGCCATCATGTTGTGAGGAAATCTTTCAACTATTGTGGCGAGTTATTGCAGAAGCTTATACAAAGTTTTACTTGTTTTTGATTCATTTGAATTATTGTAACAACCTTTTAATGTGTTTCACAGTAATTAAAATCCCTTTATCCACACAGCTTACACAGGTGCAATATTCAATTCCTCATCAATGCCTATTGAGATTTTCTGAACAGGCTGTAGATGTTTGTGAGAGTTTCTTTCACAATTTGTGACAATCTGTCCCTAACGAAGCTCTGAAAATACTCGCAACTTTTTCATTTTATTTCTCTACATTCTTGATCAGTACTGTATTCTCTCTTATCTCTTCACAGCGGCACTGTCCCAGATTTCCCCCTTGACATTTCTTATCTCCTCTGTCCAAGTGTTCTTAAGTTCGGCTGAAATCTCTGTCCTCTTCCTGAGCTAATGGAAGGAGAGAGGAGTAAAGTTATGGAACAAGGCAGGGAGTCTAACTATGAAAAGAAAAAAAAAATCTGGCCAACTTTTGAGGGAATTAATTTGTCTTTTCAAAGGTCTGCCTCCTCACACTGACCAACTCAGACACCAAACTACAGAGAGTCAAAGAAACAGCAGAAAAAAACCCTAGAAAGCAGACAGAGAGCACATACCTCCACCCAGGAAATCCTCCGTATCTTTCATTTAATTTCAATAACAGAGAATGTTTAGGGATCACCAAAGTTCCTACATAAGATCCTGAGGTGGACATGAGTGTCTATAACAAATTTCCTGGAAATCCATCCCATAGTTGTTGAGACATTTCACTCAAAACCAAAAATCCACCACCACAGGAAAAGCATACCAAAAGCAAACCATAGGGCGTTTCTCAGAATAGAGTATGCCACGTTCAAACTCGGCACATTCAACTCTGGAGTCTAAACTCCCCCGGATATGGAGGACTACTTGTAATTGGAACAGGAGCGTGCTTGCTCTGGTGATGACACCTCAACACAGATGTGCCTGATTCACTGTGAAATTATCTCAACTACATAAACAGGTTTTTTCCAGGAAAAATAAAAATAAAATCCAATCTGTATATAAAAAAATAGACCAAATCTTAATATAGACCACTCTGTTAACTGTTTATTTTTATTTAAATGTGGAGATATTTGTACATATAAGAACCCATGAGTCTTCAGAGTCAGTACTGTTGGTAAAGTGTCCAATAAAAAGTATTTATTACACTTTCAACTTTACCATCAAACATCTATTTCAACTCTGAGAACAACCCTCAGGACTTATCTTGCAAAAAGGAATTACGACTTATACTAAAACACCACAGAAAACAGAGCCCACGGTAAATTACCGAGATAAGACTGTTGACCTGGGATGACGAGGGACATTCACCTTGGGAGCCGGACTGTGAGCTGCTGAAATGACCAGCTGGTCTCACCTGCCTCATATCTCCAAAACCAGTGGAGCAAATTTCCAGATAGACTAGAATGGTTGAACTTTTCCTTCTCACCTGAACAAATGTCAATATATATGATATAAAAGTGACATACTGTCATAACAATCCTACAGCAAAAAGTAAAACAGCTTTGAGTTGAGTCCTCAATAAACACTTCCAATCATTTGATCTGTCCTCGCCTAGATGAAGACTTTGAACTGGAACAGTACTTGAGCTGTGACTGATGACGTTTCACAAGTTCACAAGAACACCAGCACAGACGCCCATGAATGTCCATCAGGTAGATGTCGAGGTATTTAACTGAATGAGTGATGAGTCTGAATCGTTGGCGGTGCTATAAGAAAAGTCAGGGGATCGGCAAAGTCTGTTGGATTCAGCCACTAGGGCCCACGCATGTCTGTACAACATTTCATGGAAAATCCATCCATTAGTTCCCGAAATATAACTCGGAGTCACAGTGTTAGCATTGCTCAAAAGCAAAAGAGTCTCAAGAACACTATTTTTCCTAAACTATCTTTTCAAAACACCCACTCCTGACATATTTATTTTATTTTTTCATAGGAATTTCTGTGAGCTTGAAATGTCCATGAAATGAATAAGCACTTAAGAATATAATACAAACTGTTTCCTAAACAACCAGAGAGTGAATGTTTCATCTAGCATCAGATCTCTCTAGTTTCTTTGGTTTAAAGCCAAACACAACAGCTGGCAGGTAAACATTAGCTTACTGCGAGGTCTTCAGTGGGTTACATTGCATCATCTCTGAGTATTGAAGTTGGCCAGTAATCTAAAAAGCCGCCTCGTGCAGCTTTGAGATTTGGACGGATGATTTTTGGCTGCGGTTTTTTGAGGACAGCTGCTGTTAAAACGTCTCTCTCATCTTGGTGTTTTACAGCCTCCGACACTAATCGGCTTATATGCATCCTTCACCTCTTTCAAACCATTTCTTTCACCTGCAGGCCTTTTCTGTCATGACCCTGCATTCAGACTCCATCCCCCCAGCCAACATATTAATCTCCTCAGAACTTCTTTTTGCAAGCTCAATGCAGCTGAGGTGTCTTTTCACTCACACTATACTGTCTCTAACCCCCGCTGTCATCGTTTTGTCATCATCCGTCTGATGCCAATTGCTCTGTCACTTTTGTATTGTTTTTATTTTTATATTTCATTTTTATTGTTGCTTCTTCTTAATGTGTTTGTACTCTGTACGGTGTCCTTGAGTGCCAAGAAAGGCGCCTTTAAATAAAATGTATTATTATTATTATTATTATTATTATTATTATTATTATTATTATCATTTTAACCATTTAAAATCATCCCTTGTGACACAACTCGTTGCTCTCCTAACAAGTCACACTGAGAGGATGTATTGATAAACGGATGACCTGGAGATTTAAGGCTTTGCAGTATAACATCGTCCCTGTGTGAGCCCTATAGAGGTTTATCAACTTTGGCTCTGTCTCTGAAGGTTTGAGCCAATCTTGGAACAAACTGAAGCAGTAAAACAAACATTGAGAGATAAGTACAATTTCAGATTAACACTGCTGCTCAAATGCAGTGCAGTGGAAGGGAATAGCTGCTGTAATCTGTGGTAAAGATGTGAAGCTTTTACCAGCTGGTAATTCAAGGTAAAGGTAAAAACATTGGTTACAGTTACAGCTTCTGTTTTCTAAGATTATTGTCATTATTATTATTATCATTATTATTATTATTATTACAAATTCAAGCAACAAACAACAAATATTCCGTCTCCCCAGAATCAATTCTCATCAGGGTATTTATATTATTATTATTTATCCCAAGTAATGAAGCACTTTGATGGTTAGCAGCTCTTCAGGGGAACACCATCAACATTCCTATTTCAGCAGCACACAACATATGTGCATCATCTTCTGAGTTTGTTGTTTTGACGATAAAAATGTTGAAAGGTCACTCCAACAATTTTTATGTGTGATGATTAGTTTACTTGTGAAAATGCTGTTGAATTGCATTACAGCAATGACAGGATCCAGAGTTGATTCAGATTCTTCTCTGGCGCCTGTGCAACAATCAATCACTTCAGTTTTAATAACCTCTGGAAGAGCACAGCTGTTAGCGGCGACGTTGTTAGCTCCAACTTCAAAAAAGTGTCCGAAAAAACAATCCTCGCTGTCAACCGCTTCCCTATTCAATGAGATCCGTCATTTTTATAAGCTTCTGAGACTTGAAAATGACGACTGGAACAACATCACTTGGGCAATGAACTACTTTACTGTATGTCATTATAGTGGCAACGGGAGAAAATACCAGTCCTGTCAGGGTTGAGTATGTAAATTGCCTGTGTAACACTAAAGAGCCCGCTATTATCTCTATACATGGGTAAAAGTCAAGATATCCCGACCTCTGCTGCTTTAATTCTAATCATCTGAACTTCTGCACACCTGAATCACAATGGTGAAATCAGATGGTGATCAATCATGCTGATTGGCTGAAGGTAGCCAACTGACTTGTGTGAGATTGTGTTGGAAAAATGAATCCGACTTGCAGCCACTGAATTATGGCACCTTACAGTTAACAGTCTGTTGCAGAGCGGTGACAGTAATAGAAAAATAAATGGTTGGTTTAACATTTTAAAACCAAGCTGTGGAAATAAAATCACGTGTTTCTTGTATGATACTGACTGTGTTACTAGAAATGAACGTGCTCTTGTTGTTCACTGAAGAAGCCCACTGTTCTCTGTTCACTATTCAAGAGCTGCACGTGGTTTTGGTCTTTATGTATCTTAGGACATAAATGCACATGGCAGACTTCATGCCTACATGTTTGCTATTGGTTATTGTCATGAGCTGATATGTAATCAGCCAATCTGTTTCCATTTCTTGGTTCTATAAAGAGGTTAGCCTGACTCTGTATTGTTGGGGCAGGGAATGATTTGTGTGAGGCCTGTTCTCTTATTGATAAGTAATTATTTTTCCATTAGTCTTCAGGTCACTGAAGGTCACTCAATCAGTGTCTGTGCTTTTATTTCTGTGTGTGTATCCAGTGTTTTAACAGAAAAACCACAACAGCAAAGTTTTCTTACAGTTACACAATGTGATGTTGAAGATTTATGTGAATTACCTCATTATATGATTTTTTTTGTGAAAATGTGTAGGAGGAAAATATGAATATGAATTTTCCAACATGAGATATTTACCCCACTGTTTATACTGTGGTGCCTGTCCCTTTTATATCTCTAGGTTTACACCATTGTGGGCAGGACTCCCTAATGGTCATTCGATTTTTATGTGACTTTGCATCAGTATGACGTAGTACTTTAATTTGTCAGATATTTAATTAGCTGGTTATTGTGTTCCCTCATAGCTTCTCAACTCATGTTCCAGAAAATTGATTGTATCATGACACATGTCCATATTGAGGGTTTTATCCATACTGCTGCAGTCTATTTAGATCTGTGAAGAGCAAATAAATCCAGGACAAGAAATGAGCAGCTAATTTAAATGTAACTAACGCTGAGAGAGGCCACTTTGATCCTATTCAACACTTGTGAAGTTGCGCACTTGTGTACTCACTGAGGCTGTGTGCAGTCCTGAAGGTTACACATTCTGCGGATGGGTTTCGGCTTCTTGCTGGCGTCGCAGTATCCTCGATGAACCATCTTGGTGTCTCCTTTCTTTCGACAGCCGTACTTGGTGTACTGAAACCCTGTGAAAGTGGTGAAGGTTTTTCACCATGCAATATTTTACAATGCATAAAAGGGACAGAAATACTTTACATTTTGATGTTTGACCACCAAATTCTAATCAGTTCATCCTTGAGTCCGAGTGAATGTTTTGTGCCAAATTTAAAGAAATTCCCTCAAGGTGTTACGGCCAGTGGACCTTTGCTGCAACACAATGGAAATCATCCAGCAAGAAGCTGAACTGGCCAATTAAATACTAATTTACCTGCCAATTTTCACAATAAAAGATAAGTACTCACAGTAAAATAAATGACTATGCATTTCCTGTTTATTCTTCAATGTCCTGATCCAAACTGACCTTTTCTAGACAGTATTAGTTCATCTTACAGGTACCTGAAATATTGTGCTCCCACTAATGCATCTTATTGCAATTTTTATTATGTATTATTATTATTATTATTATTATTTTTATGCTTATTCTGCTTTTTACACAGGTCTGATCTTGGTGAAAATGCCCATGAAAAAGCACTGTGGTAAGGATATGTTTGAGGAACTGAGGTCTCTTCCCTTAGCATCACTCTATAACTTCATAGAAGGATATCAGATGAATATAGCTAAGCACAAGTAGCTGGTTAATTATGCAGCAAGTCAAAGTACACCTATCTATCAGGACCCCACTACACCACCAATAATAGTTATTAAACAGCTTTAAAATTCAAAGGAATCAGCGTTGGCTTGAGTAGGTGGTTTAACTACAAGTGGATAAAAACAAATTATCAAAATACTGCATAAAAACAAAGATCTTTGACTGTGAAACCGAAGCCTGTCTACAAACAAAAGGGGGCAGTGAGCATAAAATTCAGACGATTATATTTGAAGAAGTAGAAAGGAATTATTCCTCTGCAATTCTCCTCCACTCTGATGGTAATTTATTTATTACCTCCGGCACAAGGTTTAGAACACGGTGACCAGCTCTTCAGAGCCCACTCGTACGTGTCCTCCTGGATGACGTTGTTGTTGTTGACAGGCACTGAGTCCTCATGGATGATGTACTTGTACATTAACGTAGACCGTGTTTCATTGTCCTTGGGTATAATCTGCAAGAAAAAAGCAAAAAAGATAACACAGCGTCATCCTCTGTGCAACATATTTGCATTAAAGTGCTCAAAGTGCAAATTTGTGCAAATAAATTCATTATGTTTGAATTCAAGACACAGCAGAAAAAAATACTCAGGCTCAATGGCAACTCTATTACATGGCATCAATACAGACACAATACAATGACTGGCTGGAGACAGAACAGGTGGTTACTGGACAAAAGGAGAATTCATGCACAGGATGAGACCGAACCCACAAAAGAAAACGTCAGAAACGTATCCTTCCTGATCTCGACTGCTGTTTCAGAACTTTTCTCTGGAATACTTCTCAGGTATATTTTACAGCCGAGTGGATAAGGGAAGTCTATTGTAAATGAAAGCCGGCAGGACGAAATATCCTGCAGGAGTGCAGCAACGGAGAAGTACAAAACAAGAGTTGGTGTGGGTATTAGGTTTTGCAGGATTAAAACTGATACAGATTAGACAGATACAGACTGCTTCGATTACATAACGGCCGCCGCTGGCTGACAAAAACTGAATATTCCATGTTACTGGAATATTCAACAAGTCTATAAATTTGTATATTAATTTAAGAAATTATCTCATGGTGTACGTGATTATTTATTGCACATAATCATATAATTAATAGTGTAATCTGTGCGTTATGACGATGAAGTGAGGAGAAAGTCAGCACTGAAAATACCCTGGGCTGTCTTCAAGTCCAGCTGATACCACACTTAGTCCCTTTTTGCAATGATAATGTCTTAAATGTATTGTTCATAGATTTTTTATTTAAAGGAAGAAATAAAACAATCAGAAATATCCGAAATGCTCCTTTATGACTCAGTTGCTGGAGGGGGCGTGTCAGTGTCCGTTTGATTGACAGGAGCCAGCAGAACGTACACAACAATTATAATAAACTTGAGCTATAGTTCAGTGGTTCTCAAAGTGGGGTCCGAGGACCCCCAGGGGTCCTTGAGGAGGTTCCTGGAGGTCCCCAGCAAAAAGGGAAACATCTTATTTTTACTATAAATCATAAGTAACACAATGACAGAGTGTATGACTATTTTGGTCCTGGGGTTCAAACACTTTCAGATGGGGGTCCCTGGGACAACATCTTATCAGGTGGGGGTTTGTGGTCTAATTTGTGTCAGTTGAGGGGTGCTGTTGTTCACAAGCCATGGTCACACCACAGCTGTTTATGGGTTCGACTAAATGTTGCCAACTTAATGATTATTTCACTAGATTTGGCAACTTCTAAGACCTTAACGAACTTTAGCAACTTTTTTTTTTTTTTTCTAAAGCGCCTTGTGACAAATCTAGTTACTGATTAGGACCTTAACTCTTCTTCCTTGAAGAGAGTGATTGCATGTTTCTGAGTGAATGCGCTCTCATGTGGCTGAGGCTTTCTGCACTGATGACGCTCAGTAATTGGAAGAGATTCACCGCACGTTCAGTTGACCGATCATCCAGCCAAGCAGAAACGTCAATAAGCTGTGCATGTGCAAACCTAATGACCAATCACTGATACCCCATTAGATGTGTTTCCATCCACTTGTTTTGATGCACATTTTCAATCTGGTTATGAAAAAAGTGGAAACACTGAAAATCTGAAAGAAGTATAACAAAAGGAGTTCTTATGCTCGGCTGAGGTGGAAAAGCAAAATACAAGACAGTGGAGATGTGTGTGACTTATATGTGAATGTAACTTTCCTCAAATCAATACATGAAACAAACATAAATACTATATTTCTACCAATTATCTACATGGTTTTTCATTGTTTGAGGTTAAGTGGTTTTTTCTCGATGAAAAAATTCCTGATATTAGTGAATGGAAACTAATGGTGAATGGTTCATTTGCATTTTCTATTGATTGACTTGAGGTTTGAAGATGAATTTCATGTGACGTTTTCTTACGAAATTCCCCCAAAGACACACAAGACTTAACATAATTTAATGGCTGATCACTATTAATCAATCAGGGACATGACAGATGAAATTAAATAATTGAATATTAAATTTCACGGTGAAGGATTTTTGATCATTTATAAATAACAAGCCTAACGTACAGAATTATGAATGCATGCCACATAAACATTTGATCTAATTATTGGAAAACAGTCTTTCCACACTGATCTGCTTCGTACCACAACATTTTGCCTTGATCCTCCACTTGCTGCAAAATTTGAGTCTGAATAATTATCTGAATCATTCATTGAAGTTGCCCGAAACTCATATTTTACAGCATTTGTTTTCTGAAACAAGATTGCACCTTGTTGTTTTTGAAATTACAGGAATTGCTTTTCAGAAAAGTTGTGTTCATGGGGAAGCTGTAAATTAACTTCTGTCAGAGCTGCTGTTCTCTTCAGCATGTTTCAAACAAAATGTGTGTCTGTGTAATTATTTCCCTGTCAGAATATGCAGACGTCAACTCACAATTTACTGATGTGAGCTGGTGTCCCTGCAGTAAAAAAAAACCCCCAAAAAACGGCTAATGAAAAACAATAAAAAGTTGAAATTGTGTGTTTGTGTGTATCTGAGTGAAAGCTTGCTTCCTCAACAAACCCTTAATGAAATAATCTTATTAAAGCTTTTTTTTAGTCATCATTTAATTAGTTCTTTAGTTGGGTAATTTTACTATTTGAACCTAATCTCATCTTACTTCCCGCTGCTGCCTGTGCTGTCGTTAGTAATTTCGTCTCTTTCTGGACCTGGGGGAACTTTTTAAAGTGGGTGGTTTGGATTCTGCAGGAAGATTCAGGGGAATTGATTCATAAAACTTGTTCAATGGCCCTGTTTCTGAAAATCAGGGTCTTGAAAGCATTATCTATATTTCACTCACTAATTAAATTTCTCTCATTCCTGGTATGATGACTGATGTGTAACATTCATTTATCTGTTGAGGCGTTTTTTGCCATTCAGACACACGTGTCTGTTATCTGTAGTTTATGTAATGTTGTGGCTTTATTAAAGCAAGACAGGCCTGATACAGAAAGATCCAAAGCTGAAAAACAATCACTGAAAACATAATGACATGAATGACGAGAAAGGTTTCTGACCAATCATCAGCTGTGTCCCAGTTCTGGCGACCAACTGCGTCACAGTGGCACGACTAGGCTGTCCCTTTTCGAAGCCTCCTTCAGGTGCATGCTTCTTTTCCTGGGCAACGAAGGCTCCAACAGGTGGATCTCTCGCAGACCAACCTATCCCAAGATTCATTGGGATAATGTGGCAGCAAACACCACTGACAGAGAGCCCAAGGATTACACTTTTAAATCTAAGTATGTGTGTTTCAGCTCGGTACAACTGTAGTGAAGTTTGGCTTCGTGTTGTCAAGGTTGCTAGGCGACAGGAGCCGCACTTCGCAATGCAATGGTAAGGGCGGCAGCCGGTGACAGCCGTCGCAGATACAAAGGACTGCAAGGATGAATTGGAACACGGCCTTTATTTCATCATTCTTCCTATTTCATAATGTCCATAAGTGCTCAAGCATAAAGTGAAAAAAATATGAAATAATTCCAGTTTGCTCACTTGGTATATGTGAAGCACTTTGCTGGATATAGATTACATTTTCATTTGTATATTAGTAACATGAGTACATGAGACAACATGTCTGATGAGGTTTTTAAAAATCAATTCACAGTGTTTCCTGCTTTATTGAATTTTATTTGTTCATAAGTGGTGATTATTAAGAAATAAATGTTTGACAGTGATCTTAAAAAGGAAAACAAAGTGTGAATTTAATCTCTCTGTGTGAAAGGAGATTATGTAAAACCAGAATTTCTTCACTGACCCGCACAGCAGCAATCTCATCAGTGTCAGAACTACTTCTACCTCTAATATGATTGTTTTTGGTCTGTCTAATCCCTTATCATGTCTAACAATACAGGGTTTTCATTATGTCTGAGCCTTGGATTACGTCTGATGACCCCTCCCCTGTCACTGAGTCATGATGCTCTTAATTTTCCTTTTCCGCCTGTCAACACTGACATGGGTCTGGCAGTGATGTAGAGAAACTGTAGGAGCTCTGGTTGTTTCTACTTTCTCACCACAAGAAAACTTTGTGTGAGGTTAATTGATAATTAAATTAAGTATAAACTTTTTACACAGCACCATCTATGTCATTCGAGAGCCTAGTGTTGCAGATGTCTCCAGCATATTGGTCCTCTCTCTCTTTGGTGTTAATCGCACAAAGATTTCCTCCAACTGAATAATTTTAAGTAAAATATCCTTTATATGTGTTTAATATGTTTAATATCCTTTCTCTTCCCATTCCTAGTACTGGCACCTTTATTTATCTTATGTCTAGTCTGCGCAGCCCATCGACACATGAGGCTTGAAGCCTGCAGACATGGTGTAGTTTTCATTATACATATTTTTATTGGCTTAGTGTTTATTAAACTTTCTAATTGCGATTTCATTGGTTAATTGAAGAGTTTCATTAATTAAAATCTAAGAGATAGTGACAGAACGTTAATGAAAAGCATGGGAGTTGGGAGGATTGAGCTGACCTGCTTCTTTATAACAGTGCTCGTTGTTACATGCCTTTTAGGTTAATTCAGCTCTAAGCTTTGATAGAGAAGGAGCATTTATTACCAGAACCACCACGGGGTCATGCAGAGGTCCGTCAGTGTGCAGAGTCTCCACGTCTTCCTCGATGATGTAGTGCCACTCCACGCCCAAGTCGATGAAGCTCCTGGACTTAACCTCCTCACCTTTCCCGTTGAGAATGTAATGCCCCGTTGCCTGGTTCTTGATAGCTGGAATCAGTCATTTGTTATCAGCCACTGACAAAAGTTGAAATGTCTTTACTTTCATCACTTACTAAAGTTCTGAATTATTCATTGAGGAAAAAAAAAAAAGCTCAAGTGAAAGGGGTGATTGATAGAAATCTGTCTAACCACTACAAAGCCTGAACATTATGGTTCATACTGATTCATCCTCTCATTTATTCAAAAGAAGCCAATAAAGTGAACTTGTCAGGGCTGAAATGAAAATGGCTCATTTAATTACATCTGACACAATTCCTGTAAAAGCATCCGATGGGTCAAAATGAGTCACAATTAAAAGATTCTCAAACGAGCCTCATGTCTCAGCTACAGATCATTTCCTCTGGTGCTCAAGTCCTTCACTTACACCTGCATTATGCTGCGAAGTAGCAGGAATCATTTGTTTTATAATTTATTAACTCTCTTACTACTATGATCACTTTGCTCAATTGCCTGCTGGGATTTTTGTCTCCTAGTGATAAGACTCCTGTATAGTAGACAATATATTGTAATCTTCAAACAGTCAGTGTTTTGTGTTTATTTCATGAGCAAGTGCTTTACAGACAATTTCCGCCACACAGAGTGGAACCAGCTCTGTCTTCTGGGAGTAAAAAGTCAATTCTGTCAGCAGGGCCATACTTTTTATTTGGCTAGACTGCATTTCAAATTGAGTTGGGGCTCGTTTAACCGACATCTGAAACCATTTTAGTGACTTTTTAAAAAAGTAGCAAAAATATATCTTAAATACAGCCTATAACCTTTGCTGGTTTCAGTATAGGACAATTGGCAGTATTGTCCCGTGAGCGCAAGGTCAGGTTTTCCCTCCACAGGCACATCTCTCTATGCTGAACGCACAGCAGCTGACAGATTTGAATGAGCTGATGATCATTTTAAACACAGCTGAAATCAAGTAAATACAGCTGAAATCACAGCTCAGTCTTTGTCTTTAACTTCTGTGTTTGGTGATTTTGTCAGACGACATTGTGATTATAAAAAAGAAAAAAAATACTGAATTGATTTAGAATTAATTTGACTTTCTTTCTTATTTCTGAGGAATTATTTGTGTATATACAGACATATAGATTTGTATTTTGTGTATTCTGTGTCTGGAGTCCTTAGGTTCATGTTTCCAATGATTTGAGACGGTGAATTAAGCACTAATTAGCTATGTAATAATCTTTTCATAATCTCATAATCTCATAATTTCATAATCTTTTCAATCTTTTCATAGTTCGTCACTCATGTCGTCACTCATTCGCAGATTAACTGTCAACTAAGGCACAGTTTAAAGGGTTAGCATGGACCACCAGAGGAAAGGATCTGACCAGGTGAGGTCATGTAATGTTTCAAACAGCCTGACGTATTACTGGACACTCTGGGCTCTAACTTCAGCTTTTAGATTCAAACCCACGTCTAAAACTCTGATTATTTACTGCTGCTGGTACAAGTGAAATATAGATGCACTGACAGAAATGCAGAACTAACAGCAGGAGACTAAGTGAACACTGAAGTCAAGAAAGAGTCAGAAAATGTGTTTGACTGTGATCCATCGGCACGTGTCATTTCACAGACAATGACAGTGACAGGAGGGATGGATGCTGTTTGTAAATCTACAGCAGGGGGGAAATTCTGATGCTAAAAATGACAAGCATAAGATGTTCAAATGGTCTGGAAGGAACACACTTAATCAAAAGGCAGATGTATAGTGGAGATGAAACTTCTGTCTCCTCTGTGTCACCTCTTCTGCAATGGAGAGTTTCTTTGTTTTCTGTCAGAACTGCGGGGTGAAAGCAATTCAGGTCAAGGTCTCAAATTTGTGACTTAAGTCTGACTTGAGTCAAGTCATGTGACTCCAGGCTCCATCACAGGCCACGTGGGGGCATGGTTATACTCTTTAGAGATGCTGGATAACCGCTGATGTCTTGCGAATGGAGACATAACAAGAGAAACTGTCCTCCCGGGTAGTTATTTTAACCCAAGGAACTATCTGTACGTAAACCGTTAAAGTTGTTTTGGTGCCTAAACCAATCCACAACCATAACCATGGTGTTGTCACATGATAGGGCAGATTTGTTTTTTAACAGTGATTTGTAACAGCGATTTTGTAAAGCACAGACAAAATGACACCGTCCTGCTGACAGGGCCGTCACATCAGAAACAATTTTGTCATTATAATATTATTTTTGGAGGTGATATATAATTGGAAATGACATTTCTGCTGTAAAATATATCATATTTTTTATGATTATGCAGAGATGTTTTTCTCAGTTTGAAGGTTTTCTCTAATAGTTAAAAAAAAGACAGTTCAAGGGGAAGGTTATTACTATTACCATCGTTTGCTTGCATGAAATTGAAAGCCCATTTGTACCACAGTGGATCACCATCCACATATTTACACAGATATTTAACAAATGCAATGAATATCTCCTTTGAATAATTGAATTGGCCTTTACGCACCTTCTTTCACAGGAATGTACACAGTTCAATGTTATAAACCTACATGCATAAAAGGACCAAATCATTCCTGGTTTAGTCCTATCTGTGCATCAGTGCATGTAAAATAACTAGATTAAACATGATATTAATAGGAACATATTAAGGAATGAATTTAAATAGCCTGAGTTTTTCTTTTTTTTTTTTAATCATCCTTCTCATCATATATGAAGTAAAAATCAGTGTCTCCAGAGTACATGCCAATCCACCCTAGAATTACTTGCTTGAATGTCTGTGATTGAGTCTCTGTGATTGATTGGAGATTGAGTTGGAAAACCTCCGCCTGCCTGTCACAGCTCAGCAAGAAACCCACAGGGTCGAGAGCGGGGGAGGTGGCAGCGACAAATTATTTGACTGCGTCATTTTCAATCTAATCAGCGGGGGGTCAAACACCCCGTAATAAGACTTTGAAATGCATTTCACTGACCTAAACTTGATTTATGCCTACATGAAAAATGGAAGGTGATTGCCAGTAGACTTCGGCAGTGGAGCACATTTCTTGTCAGAGTGGAGTAGCACAGTGGCTGCTCCACCAGCTTTTATATCAGAAAATGATGCAGAAGCAGGAAGTAAAAGGACAATCTACATGGCTCGGGGGAGAGGTACCGCCTTATTATCACTCCCATCCGTATAAAATAGAAAGGGATTGTTTCTATTTTAACTGATGCGTTCAGTTTCCCTTATCAATTTTACAACCGTTGAAAACCCACTGAGGGAAGTTAGTGATTTGAGGCTCTATAAATAAAATTGATTTTAATTGTATTTATGATTTTATATGATTTTAATTAGACAAGAAAAACTATCTTCCTCTAAGGTACGACTTTCAAAGACATACAAGCTCCTCTTGAGGAAAACTCAAGCTTGTAGTGTGTATAGGCCTCTAGTAATTTTCCACACAAACTTAAACATAATATTAGGGCTAACTAGCTGAAAAAACAAGAGCAATGCTGTTTCTTCATTTGTATGTCTTCTACATGGATCATTAGCTGGCGAGGATGCTAATGTTTTAACCTCGGACAAGCAGCTCTAGCCTCAGTCCTTTAGCATGTAGCCGTGTATAATTGTAGCTGTCACCACTTGTGTATTTAAGACCCTTTTACACGGATTATCGTTTCAAAACGAGTCAGCTGGAACAGTTAAAACTCAGCTGGAGCATCAATTAGCCGGCTAGCTAGAGCGGTTAAAATCTGCTAGCAACAGTCATTGACTAGATATGTGAAACCTGCTTTTAGTTACTTTTGTGTGCAATCGAAGACCCATTGCTGGAAAAAAAAAAAAAAATCCCACACTACTTCCACACAAAGTAAACCCACTGCAGTTTTCATCATAGCTGTGCAAGTCCACAAACGGGCAGAGCAACAGGGAGACGAGGCTCAGCGAAGCTTTTCAGACATGAAACTGACATAATCCTGCTACTATAACATTATATTATCCTGTCTGGAAATAGACGCTTGGGGATTTTTCATAACATCTTTAAAGGCTCATTCACTGAAACCTTGAGTTGAGATGGAGCAACACAGACCTCAGAGTGCATCACTTTGTTGGGTCTGCAGATTTCCATCACATTTTAGCAGGTTTATTCAGGTCCAACTAATCCTGAGAGAAAGTCTCTGAGGTCGATCTGACCTTTGTGCATTTCTAGACGCCTGTTATTGGAGTTTTCTGACAGATTATATCTGATATCTTTAGATGAATATTAGCCGTGTGTGTGTGTGTGTGTGTTTTGACATTATTCCTTTTTGATGAAAGATCTACAGTTTCATAGTATTAACTCATTTACTTTATGCTTGTTGCTTTTATACTTTAAAGTAAGATAATGCTGATTATCTTTTCCATTTATCCTTCATTTTACCACCCCTTTATTTCAAAGACTTTTCTTGTTATGTTGGATATGTAGCTTCTCTACTTCTCCTCTCCTCTCCTCTTACTTTTGAGTGTCAGATAAATAACTTGAGCGTAAATGTTAATCTTACAGAGCTCTTTGAAAAGCACGCTGCCCCTGGCTGAGGAGATCAATGCTGACCTGTGTGATCTCGCGGATGCTGAATAAGTCATGCTTTTCTCGGGCCACTCGCAGAACAAGAAACAAAAAGATTAGCCACCTCTTTCATGCCCTCAATTATCTGACAAAATCCTTATAGAGACCCTGCGATCCTACTGTTAGTTTACAGGGACTAAATAACTTTTGTTTGTGTTTGTGATGTTTTTTTCATGAACTTTAATAAAGGTCTGATAAATTGTATTTGCTCATTAAACCCTGAATGAATCAATAATTTTATATTAGCATTGGATCAACTGATGAATTTGTGGTGACAATCTCATAGAGTATCAACAACCACACTTAGATCTATGGAGCTGTTTTTACCCACTCTGAGTTTGAACTTTGACAACGTCATTTTATCCTGTGGCTTCTAAAACTGTTACAAATCACTTGTATATTAATTAAAGTGTTCTCAGATTGATTAGTCAATTGACAGAAAATTTGCACCAATCAATTGTATTTGCTGCTTTTCCTTGTCATAATATTATAATAAACTGAATCTCTGGCGGTTTTGGACTGTTGTTCAGATCAAACAAGCAACAGTGTAGTTGAGAAAATTAAATGATAAAAAAACAAAAAAAACAATAAATAAATAAATAAATGAAAATTAAAAAACAGTCCAATTCTTTCAGTTGAGAGAAGCCATTAATATAGAAATCTCTCTTTAATAGACTGATGAATAATGAATGAAGAAAATAAGGACTTATTTTCTGGAATAAATTATGTAAAGTCTGTAATCTATGATTTTACACTACATGCTCGCAGTAAGTCGTCCCAGCGGACACGTAGAAGATGCTAATGAGCTGTTTTTAGGGATCCACAGATTTCACACATGTGTTCGTGTTATGAAGTCACACTTACCAAGAATTTGAGGGGAGGCCTCATGTTCTTGGATGATCACATGTCTAGCTCCAGGAGGAATGAGAAACATCTTAAGGTAACCTTTGCCAAGTTTGTAGTAGTAGAAGCAGAAGGTGGAGGGGGGACGGGGGACGGTTAGGAAAGATAAGACAGAGACAGGTAAGTTAAGCAGATACAGGAATAATCTGTTTGTTTGCAGAGGCGGACATCACACATGTTTCAGAAGTTTTGTTGACTTTGCTCTACAAAGATGTTTGAAGAAGTTTGATAAGAAAAAAAAAAAGAGGATGTGACATCGGCCTTCCCCTCTCGCTGTAGAAGGATGCAGGTAAGGGTTCTTATTGAAACTGCCATGAAGGTTTATTCATATCCATCTGCTGTGTCATCAAAGGGTTGTTGGAAATACCAGTATATCCTTGTACTGCTATTACGCAACTCATTACCATGGAAGAAAGTCTCATGACTTTCTTCCTTTGCGTTCATATTGATTATGTGCAGACAGGATGTGAATGAAAAGAGCCCTCAGCCATGTTTCAATAAGGCGTAAGAAACAGGGTTTTCAGACTACAGGGCAGCAAAGTCTCCTTCTGTCAGTGATGTCCACCACTTACAAACCTACTGTGACTCACCAAGTACATTTCTAGAGTCTTCCGTTTCATTTAAAAACACATTTCGAGCTCCTTTGGGCAAAGAGAAGGCTCCTCGGGTCTTCCCTTCAAAATGAAATGAATTAGTTAGTTAGTCTCACAGTTTTTCCCTCCACTCCATTTCACCGTCTCATTGTTTCTCTGCAAAAAAAAAAATAACCATCACCTACAGTGGAGGCATATTTAATTAGCATAGCAGGGACCTGAGGAACTAATACTGAGGAGGCAAACTATTTTTTGCTGGCAGTGTGGCACTTGCCAATCACCAGGACTGAGCTGTGGCGGTTGTAATTACTTGGTTAGATTTGACAGGAAGACGGTCCAACACGCACCTCCTGACGCAGATGAAGCTCTGCCACTGAGGTAATTATGAATTCAACTGGCATGCCGTCACAGAGTTGCACAAGGTCATAACAGGTGGCAGAGCAGCTGGCCCTGCTCGCTCTACAGTATCATTAAAGGTAAAAATTGCAACTTAACTATTGGAAATTTAAAAAAAAAATGCCCTCTCACTTCCGAGGCGACATCCTCTGATGGCAGGCAATTTCAGAACCAACAAGTGCTCGATAGAAATTATAACTTGAGTTTTTGTAGACTGATGGAAAATACTGCCCACAAGCTAGATGTCTCAAAAGTGTCTCCCTTGAATGTGGGTGCATGAACTGAATGGAGCATCAACGTGCCAATTTGGGTTCAATCAATCAGCTGCTAGATGGCCAACAACATCCTAGATTGCCTCCAAAAAGTCTGCAGGTTCGTTTACACTTAAATCTGCACGAAGACTTTAAAGGTCCCATATTGTAAACAGTGATATTTCCATGTCTTTTTTTATTATAAAGCAGGTCTATTTTCTATATTAATACTGTGAAAGTATCAAAGCGCTCAGTCCACAGGGAAATGCACACAGCCTGTATTCAGAAACTGAGCCTTGATACGAGCTGTCAGGACTTCTGTCTTTGTGCTGTCACAAAGAAACACTCATCAACCTCAGCCATGCCACAAGCACCACCCACCTGGACCCACAATCCAGCCTTGCTTGAAAACTGCTATATTTTCATTTAATCACTCAGAAAAGAGTCAGCCAATCAAAAGAAAAGGCTCAGAGCCTCCTCTCTTCTGATAGGCTCACTGACCTGTTGTTACTAGAGCTCCAGAGAGAAGCCTGAGAGAGGAGTTGTAAAACTTCATTGAGATTGTTTTGGTTCTTAAAATCACAAATATATCTTATATATGGATATTAAAACTTCAAATAAAACACCAGAAAAGTGTCAAATATGGGACCTTTAAAGTTAGTTTGTTAGGCTGCTGAAGCAACTGCTCAAGAGACATTGACATTAAATTACCACAATTACCAAAAATAACTTTGTTCACACAGTTTCAGAGACTTGATTGTATAACGAGCCCGTGACAGCTCCTACAGTCAGAGTCAGACCTAAATAGACACTTAATTAGTAACAAGGAACAGAGAAAACAGCAGCTTATGACACTCATGTTTCTAGGTCTCTACAATGTTAGGCATCCATCTGCACTACAAGCTGGACAGAAAACGCTAGAAGAAGAAGAGTCTGTGAGGGAGTCAGTGACACTGGATACTTGCATATTGTGTTTTCCAACAAAGGGGTTTCTTTTTGGGCTCTCTTGCTTAACTGTTTCCCTGTTAAAAAAGGTGAGTGGTTAAATGAGTGTGAGATGTTAGGAAAAAAAAAAAAAGTTTCAACAAACTACAGCACATCCTGTAACGGTTTGATGAAGCCATCATGTCGAGGCTCTCAGAAAGCCCATTTCCATTTTTCTCAGAAGCTCTTTATTGATTTTATGACATCTTCACTTTTCCTTTAAATAAAAACATGATGATGAATTATTCATGACAGATGAGGCTGGCATCACAGAAGACATCATGAAACCGTTTAAAGTAAATACAAAGTCATTCATTAAGTTATGTTTTTCATGCTGGTTGGTGAACGTGAAGGCTCATTTTTCAAAAAAGACATTAACCACTTCCTCACACTCATTCAGATTAACACTGCAGCACCCAAATCACCATTGGACTGTTTGCTTTAATTTAGTGAGTGTGAGTGTGTGTGTGAGTGTGTGCATGTGTGTGTGCATGTTTGTGTGTGTGCCCTGTGTGGCTGCAGAGAGGAGATAACAAGAGAGAAGCAGCTTGAATTAAAGAAGCTTGGATAAAGCGTACGCATAAATTGTGAACTTACAAATTTGATTTTAAAAAAATGGAACTAAGTATATTACATAAATAAATAGAGAAAGAAATAAAGTTGGGTTTAATTAATTCTCCGCTTGTAAGGGTCTTAATCCAAATGAACCCGACTGTTTGGTGTGATTGTTGTGACAGCTGTCACTTCCATGTGGCTCTGCTGCCTCCCCTGTAGACTCAGTTACGAGCTGTGGATATAAACTCTGTGGGAGGCGGCTGCAAGTTCATAAACTCCCCTATGATCTCATGCAAATCAGTATAACGTCCCAACAAGGCTGCTTATATTTTTCATTAGAAAAATACTCATAAATACTATAATATACTATACTGTTTATGGCCTCTAATGCACCATTACACTACAGTTTCTACAGATGTGCTGTCACCCATCTCTCCTTTTCCATTACAGTCACATTGACAAGTATGAAATTAGACTAAGTTTGTAAAACTTTGTAACCTCAAGCAATAATTGTATAAAAAAAGAGAGTCAAATCACTGGGGCAGTTCTACAACCCATGAAAAAGATCTATATAAATACTATAAAGTGTTCAGACAGACACAGTCAACATAATTTCTTAAGCTCTGTCCCAATTCTGTTTACTAACTGCACATACAGTAGTACGCACCTCATTCTAACTGTCATAATATCCTCTTTCTGCACACTTCATCAGTCAGTCTGTGACCTTGGAATGTCACTGCCAATAAAACTTCAGAGGATTAAATACTTATTTTGTTGCTGTTATTGTTTATATATTGTAATTTTTTTGCAGGTGTGAGTAGCTTAATTTTTTGTGCATTGTGGGACAATAGTGTCCATCAAATTTAGAAATTGAGTGTTTTTTTTTAAGCAAACTGACATTTTAGCCATGCTAGTGTCAACCATTTAATGAACTGCCATGAACTTTAGTACAGAAATGATCATGGCCCAAAGAGGATGAATACAATTAAGTTTGGTGATCCTCTGACTTGTGTGAATTTGTGGTTGACAATTTACCCAGTGCTTTCATTTATGACCAAATATCTGTAAACCTAATTACACTGACATCAGCCTTGGCTGTACTTTATGTTTATTGCTAATTAGCAAATATTAGTAATGCTAACTCTCTAAACTATGATTACGAACATTGCCAAAAATCACTATTTTAGCATTTCCACTGTGAATATGTCAGCGTGCTGATGTTAACGTTCAGGTTAAAGCTCCACCTCAGTGGAGCCATGATGGCTCTACACTCTTAGTCTTGCTTGAGTTTTCTTTTTTTTGTCACTGCCACTGTGAAAACACAACCAGCAATCTTGTGGCCAAAGGTCCATATTATAATGAAGACACTTCCAGCCACACAAGATACAATGAAAGAGAGAGAAATCTAGTGGCAGTGGCATATGAGTTCAGTTTTCTTTTTTGGAAAACTCATGTTTCCAAGGTCAAGAAGTAACCTTCAAGCTCAACTCAAAACCTGCTTAGAATTAATATGCAGTGTGGAAAGAGACAGCTACAGTTTAAGAGCCCCTACAAAGAAAAACAGAGTACTGAAGCAAGAAATCATATGCAGACTCCATCCTTCATTTAAGTGGCCACTTATCAGGGAAAAAAGCTTTATCTCGCTTTACTTTTGCAACACCCGAGCTGCTAAAGAATGTCTATCAAACTGTTGTAATATTCATACACAGGTGTTTATAGCAGCCACTTCCTGCACCCTGCAAAGGCAGAACAATTAATGTTAATGTAATCCTTATCCTTTCTCAATTTTTGACTCAGGGAATTTGCAGCAGTCAGGATGAAGGAGCTCATGGGTGTTACTGTTGTTGCATTTGCTCTCAGCTGTATGAATGAGCTGCAGAGCCAGCTCACTATCTCTCCTTTCAGGAAAACATAGGTGCTTAGATTCCTTATGTGAGTCCAGCTGCACTTCAGCGCGCGGCTCACTGCACAAATCTGCAGATGCAAAATCTGGAAATAATACCATGACAGGCCACTTGTCCTTTTTACATTAAGTGCAGTTTCTAACAAAATCAAAATTAGTACCCTACAAAAGAAGGAGTGTGTTTTTGATGAATATGAGTCACAGCTAATCCTCATTTTCAGAAATCAGACTTGAGTTGGGTTGGCTTTCAGATGTTAAAATAAATCCAATGAGAGCCTGTAAAAGGCTTAACAAATTGTTAAAAGAGCCAGTGAAAGGCCAAAAATGAATACTAAAGAGTGGCGTGGTAATCATAGGTTGAATCTGTTCAGCTAATCAAGATCTGTTTTAAGAACTAGCCACTTTGCTTTTTTTAATCAGCGCTTTAAGGATTGCACGCTCTCATTAAAGCTATGGAGGCGAAGAAAAGCTGCACTTCACAATTACTTTCCTCAAACTACGACTTTTCACATCACAAGCCTATATTTTATGCGAAAAAAATCTACCCAAGATATTTACTGCATCTATTGCTCAGACTCTGTGTGGAGTGTAAGTCACATGCAGAGGACATAGTTCCAGCTCCCTTGAAGTTAAAGTGAGGAATGGGTGAGTAAGAAGTCACTTACCCTTCAGGGAGACTCTGGGAAATGTACGACCTTTTTACAACTTTGTTTTAAGAGACTGTCTGTCTGCGGACATTGTGCTGGTTTCATTGCATTCTTACCAGCTTTCTTTGGTGTTCTGGTGAAGGTTCCTTTGACGGTGCGGCAGTGGGAGTTGTCCCCACCACAAACCCCACATTTGTCCTCAACTTTGTTAGAGCCAATTTCTCTGTCGCAGCCAACTTTCTGGAGACCAAAAAAAAAGACAAAAAAACAAATAGACAGTTGAGCTGACATTCTTCTTGACAATGTGATTTGATGAGAAGCCGACCTGTCAGATTTTCTCACTGCGGCTCTCTTAGCTGTCGGATTATCAGCGCTGACTGGACAAAAACAGGTGAGGCTGGAGGTGGAGGTTCGGACTCAAACTGCCATTTGGACAGAGGAGTCATGTCCTCTCTCAGAAATTCAGACACATTTGTGACTTCCACCAACAAGGTTATGTTTGTGGTTCAGTCTGTTTGTTTTGTCTGAGTCTGTCTGAGTGTGGATATCTCAAGAATTTTTATGAAATTTGTTGAAAGTCTGACAAAAAACAATAAATAAGTTCATTCGTGAGCTACTTTATATTTTTCTTTACATTTTGGGTCATAACCCCTGAACGACGAGGGGAAGAGGAACATTTGTTGGATTCGTTCGAAACAAATCTATCTACTGTACATGCCATTTTCTGCCATTTAAAAAAAATGAACTACTCCACTCACAATATGTATCTTATGTTCACTAAAACTTGTTTTCACGTGTCCACAGAACAGCAGAGTTGGTCTTGTTTTTCATAATCTAGGCACCACAATAAAGGTGTACCTTGATAAAGCAGTGTGCCATGATGAACACCTACTCTGTGTCACTTTCCTGTCGGATCCAAGACGAGTTTCCTCATTTGTTGTTTTAACAAATGTTATTTGTATTTGTTGTTGTTTTTATATTTGGGTAGACACACCAAAATAATTTTCCTTTAAGTGTCACACTGTTTTACTCCTGATGATAGTCAATTCTTGTAGATGCCGTCTTTGACACAAACTTTACAACACTTTAATGCTTCATGAAATTGCAGCTGAACTGAGATGAAAACAAGGCTAAAACAGGGACGACATTTACCTACTTAAGGTGCCACATACTGACATTATAATTTCTCAGCCCTCTCACTCGCAGCAACTAATCAAAGCCTTTTATAAAGCCTCTGCTTTATGAGTCCTGCTCCTAAAACAGCAGTGAGCGAGCTCTCTGCATCTAATTGCAGCGTGTTCAAAGCTGAGCCTAATGCTGATTGAGCAGTTTACCAACATCACACTGTGTAATTCATTAACGTCCTTCAGAGCTTTTAACATTCAAAAAGCCTGTGGCTGCTGATGTGCATGGTTTCCTAATGCAGCTTTTAATATGTCAAGAACTGTGTCTTTTAAAACAAATCCTTACCACACATTCTCCACGCACGCAGATACTGTAGGCATCCTTGTAGGAGCATCTTGTCCCATCATGCACCAGCTGCTTCATGTACGCCACGTCTCCGGTTTCCCTTGACTGGCAGTACAAGTGGCACCTCTTGTTGGCTACAAGACAGATCGTTTAATATCATTATAAAACAGCACAATAATGTACCCTAACGCTGTGAGCTTTGCTGTTGAGAGGAACTGCAGAGTCGAGTGATAATTCTGTGTTGGCTTGTCTCTATGAGTGATCCCGGTCATATTCATATAGTCATCACCCACAAGCTTTAAATTGCATCCATGTCCCACTGTATGTAAATGGGCTGAAAGCAGTTTTTCATGTAAAGGGCCAAATCACATGGTTAATGGAAATCATAATAAATTACACTCTATTTGCCCTTTGCCTTGAACTCACCACATATCATAATCACAATTTGTGCCTACCGGTGAATGAGTGCCACTGACGACATTTTGGAATTACAATGTAAAAAGAAATTATTGAAATTATTCATTTGTACACCCACACCGATCTAAAGTGTACATGAAAATATATAAAACCACACAGACTTTCTGCTGCACCATACAGCTTATTGTCAAATTGTGCTACAGTCTTTAGAAAACCTCTTCATCTTCTACAGAACAATGGGGTCCCACTTTACCTTCTCGCCTCCGTGCACTTTCTCAGTGGGGTTTCTTACTGTTTTTTTTCTGCACGGCTGCCTTTCAACACCCAGCCCACGTTAGCTGCAATGAGCGGCAAACAGTTCCACAGAGTGAAGCCAGATAAAAGCACTTTCTGATAAAGAACAGATTGAAGTAGGATGCAGGTTCTGTATCTGCACAGGCGTGATCCGCCACCTCTGCTGGAGGGACACATTTTGAGGTTGTATGGTTTTAAACTGGCACAGTGATGGGAGGGCGGGAAGGAGAAGGCCATGAGCAACTGTTGGGAACATCCCTCTACTATATGTGCAATTCTTACCCTGGTCAGTTTCCATGGTTCTGTTTCAGCTTAAAAAGAAAAAGCAACCAGCCACATGCCGGAACAAACAATCTGTTAACAGTTTCCTGGCTTACTGTCGGGATGCTCGTAGGGCAGCCAGTGGTGTTTGGCATTTTGGAACTCAAAGTGGGAGTTGCGGAGCTGGCACTGCTGGGCTCGGAAATCTTCGAAGTGCTTGGGGCAGTCATCGGTGTTGCACAGCTGATACTCGTAGTTTACTCCTGGACAGTCCTGGCCGCCGTTGGAGGGCCTGAGGGAAGGAAATCAGAGGATCAGACAGTGAGTGTTCCTTTGAAACCAAGAACAGGAAAATACATCCAGCTGAAAATGTGATGCTACAAAGCTCAGCAGCTCATATTACAGATGATTCAGTCTCCTCTGAGCCTTGTCAGTTGTCTTACAATGCTTTAAAAATTCAGCATTTGAAGATATGGATTTTCAAGGCATTCAAGTGCAATAATACTATATATCCTTTTTCCATGAGGTGCTGACATCTTTTATTTGGACCTTGCTGTTATTCTAATGTGTAATAATTAATGCTTGACCACAACAGGTTTGAAAGGCCAATTCACAATATTTAAATCTGACTATTTGCTGCTGGGAAAATTCTCCTCTATAAAGTTATTCGACAACTTTTGGTGACTCAAGAGGCCGTGAATTTCTTTTCTTTTTGTTAATACAGTCTCTTTGGTTCCCATACTGAATCTCTGTCTCATTATTAGGCATGAATCATTCAAAGTTTTACACAAGGACATCTAAATTACTGAAAAACAAAAAAAATAATAATTATACAATATACTCTTATTTGTAGCTATTTCTATCATGAATATATAATAATAAATAAAATATAATATAAATATATCATGATGCCTCCTAGAATCAGATCATCTTATGTCTGCTTTGGTCACTTACGCTGGGTTGTTGCACTGACGTGTCCGGAAGCGAACGCCGGTTCCACAGGAGCGAGAGCAGGAGCCATATTTGCTCCAGGAGCCCCAGGTTCCGTCTTGCTTGACCTGATTAGGGTTTTTCCACATGCAGTGACCTTTGTAGCACCACTGCAGAGGATGACAGGGTTGGAAGAGGAGAGAGAAATGAGCCAAACACAGAAGTCTCCTCTCTCTCCAGCACATGATATTACAAGGAAAAAATGCAAAAACGCTACATGGCCAAAAGTATGTGGATAGGAGTGTGTATGTGCTTCTGGTTTGGGCAAAGTGCCTTAGTTCCAGTTAAGGGAAATTTTTACTGTTACATAATACAATGTTATTTTAGACAATAGTGTGCTTCCAACTTTGTGTCAACAGTTTGGGGAAGGCCCTTTTCCAGGTCCACACAGAAATGTTTTTTCCCAGTGTGGTGTGGAAAACTTGACTGGCCCCCACAGAGCCCTGACCTCAGCCCCCTCCAACACCTCTGGGATGAATTTGAACACTGACTGTGAGCCAGGCCTGATCGCCCAACACCAGTGTTGGACCTCACTAATGCTCTTGTGGCTGAATGGGAGAAAATTCCTGCAGCCAGGTTCACAAATCTTGTAAAACATCTTCACAGGGGAGTTTTATAGCAGCAGATTAAGAATGACACGATCATTTATCACATGTGGGTGTTATATTGATGCTGACATACATAATGTAGTTGTCATGACACACTGGATTTTATAATCACATTTTAGCATTTATTATAACAGATGGTGTAGACTAAAACCTGGTGTGCATACCCTGTTGCATTCATGTGTCTTATTAAAGTTATAATATGTAACTGTTCCACATTAAAATGTCTAAAAATGACTAGACCAATGTCATATCGAGTTGTGTACTTACATTATCCTAAATGTTTCCATCAATTCAAATCTAGAGAAATCAGTGATTTTAATCATGGTAACAGTACATTTCATTTGGTTGCCTGTTAAATAACATTATGTCCCCTATGCACATGTGTTAGAGTTGTGGTTGCCTGCCAGAAGCTAAAAATGAACTGTTATCTAACTTTTTACACCTTGGACATTTTCAAATATGTATTTTTAACCGGATGTAGTCATCAGACGTCTGGATGTGAAGTTATCAGAGAAAAAAACTGATCAAAAACCTCCTGAACCACTGACACCGAAGGAATCCAAACCTGGGAGAAGTCGATAGCAGTGGAGGTGAAGACAACAACTCCCATGATCCCACGCTATTTCATGGCGTCACCCAACAACGTCTTTTGTTATTGTTTTGATTGAGAGACTCCTAGCAATTTTTTTTTGTTTTTTGGCCATGCAGTATCATGTGTAATAGACACCCTTACTTTTCCAGGAGCACACTCCGTCCCATCGAGAGGTGGCCCCTTCTTGGTTTTGCAGAAGTACGGGTTGTCAGGGTGACTGCACCACAGCTGTTTACACGGGTCGAATGTGCGAAACTGAAACACAGGGAAGAAGAAAATCACGTGTTAAGGTAAGTGAGCTTACTGTATAAGAACATTAAAGCATGTGGAAAATAGCATGCCTCCACCTATTAAGATGCACAGTATAACTAAAATGATGTCTTAAAACAGCGTCTGTCAGATTTTCTTCTCCTGTATTCGAAGGCACTGTGTTACATCATTGACTTCAAAGAAAAATTCCAGCTGTGACACAAAAATGTCTATTCTGTATGTTTACGTTGTCATTCACTATACAAATATGCAAAAGCGGCTCAGTATTGTGGATTATGATGCTCTGAATCAGTTTTATACAAATCAAACGAACAAACAAGATGTTGTAAAGTCTATGAAGAGCTAATGATCCACAGTCACACTCCTCTGTATCAGCCAACAGACCGAATCGATGTTTATGAGCTGCACTATGAGCTGATTGAAGAGGTTTTCATCTTATTTGAACATCGACTCCAGGGCGGGTGGTCAGACATTTGTTTCGATGATTAGAGCATTTGAGAGAAGGCAAAAATTGGCCTTTCAGCTGCCAGCGGCCACACCTTCACCAAGCCGTTTTGTGAACAACACAAGTACCTATAATTACGTCTAAGAGCTGTTTCTCTCAACTGGTCTCAATCTGGACAATCCTTTTCTCCTCTGGCTGACATTGTTCTTTCTCTCATGAAACTCTTTCACATCTGCACTTAATTCACAATGCAGCTGTTTTTCTCCTTGGTAGAACCATGAGTTCAGATCAAATAACTCCATAACAATTATCATGTAATGGCTTTTATTTAATCCATATTCTCTATAGTTTCAACTATTAAATTTGTCCTTGGTGTTGAAGTTGCTGAAAATGTTTACAGGCTCCTTCCACTTAATAATCACCTACCTTATTTTATGGCTGTGCTTATTTTCCACTCTGTTTGAGTAATTATAGTCCTGCTGAACACACCACTGCTGCAGCAAAGACTGAATTTCCTAAACCGATTTTATTACTGTAGCTGATCTTTCTGCCACTAATATTGTAAATCTCTACTTCTCTGCTTAGTTTTGAAGAGTGCTAAAAGATTATAACATTGTATCTCAGCCAAATGCAATGTTTCCTTTTTGTTGGTGTTCATTATGTGAATCTGACTTCTCTCCTTGAGGGGAACACAGACCAACACCGCATCATGTGAAGTGACACACCTGCATCTTGGTCGTCATGACACGCCACTTTCCTACATGTCAGCCCTGTCTTTTTTCATTCTGTTGCGCTTTTCTCACGGCTGCCAAATTCTTGTAAATCCTGAACACATTGTTGCATCCTGATTTTGTTGACAGATAGAAAGACTGTCGTTATGGCAGGAATACCAACCAGGAAATGGTTAATGCTGCTTTATTAAACCTTTCTTAAACCTGAGAGCACATATTACTCCGTGAATAATCTACACAATGAACGGAGAATGGAGAAATAATTTCAGCCTCAGGAGGCTCCTGAGCAAGTTGATGCAGCCATGGTGAGGATATTGTATGGATCAGGCAAATAAAATACAGCTTTCTGCTTCATTACATAAAAAAGAACTTGAACATTGGAGCTGGACCTTAACTGTGAACTTTTCAATGTCCAATATGAACAGAATCCAAAGGCTTCTGGACATGCACATATCAAGCATGAGGCACTCTAGCAGCGTGATAATGTAATATTACTGAACTGGATTGCTCACTGAAAACCCTGAATCTCAGACTATCAGCATCATTGTCTATTATTAGGTGTATTTTGCTGGATGTATCTGAAGACCGTAAGTGCTTTCTAGTCAAACCTTTCATTACTGGACTGGTGGAAATTCTGTATTAGATGAATACACCAGGAATACTAACAATAGAGCAGAAGTGTTTTAGATTGGGGTCACTGATTTAGGACTCCTTTCTTTGTCCATCTCATTTATCGGGACTTGAAAGAACTAAAATACTTCAAGATAAAACTCTAATTGAGTTCAATCTCTCAACATGTCTGCTGCAGCCACGTCTCCTCGTCCAATTGCTTGGGCGAGTGGCTCTGTGTTTGTAGAGGCACACAAGACAATTAACTGGGTTTAATGACTTTTTCTAGACAAACAAAAACCTTTTCAGCTTGTGGCACAGACAGAATCCACTGGGCTCCAATACACAGTTGCTGTACAGTGGCTCCATCACTACAATTGCAGCTCTGGCTCTCTGTTTTCTTTTTGGTTTCTTTGTTTACCAACAGAGGGGTCCCAGAAATTGCCTGCTCAAGCACCTCATTCATGTCGGTTAATTCGAGCTAAAAACAGAGGGTGACCTCAATTGTCCAAAATTGTTGTTGATGTAACAGGAGCTCCCTCGATGGTAAAAGCAAAAATTAATTGTACTATTATTTTGGTCATGTGGGGATGGAGTGTCTCTGTATGCTATTTTACCCACAGCAGACCAGTAATCACGGTTTGCAGGTCAATACTTTCATTTCAGCTAGCAGGAGCTGGAGTGGCCATCGAGAGAACTGGGACTTTTCTTGATGGTGCCACCACAAAGTGGAAAAAAAAAACATCAGAGAGACAGAGAGAGAGAGAGAGAGAGAGAAAGAGAGATAGATGTGTCTTGTGTTGTGGTGAGAGACCCATTGGAGGAGGCCGAGCAGCCCACTCTGGTTCTGTGTGGCCATCATCTCCCTCATGTCTGTCTCCCTCTTCAGGAAATGATGTTCTGTTTGATCCAACACCTCCGCCCACACGCTTTGTGTGTTTGTATCCTTATCATTGTTGAAACACTGAGGCGGCAGCACGCTGTTGCTGACTCACTTTACATGAATAACAAAACATAAAGGTCTGGCTGAAAAGCTCAGACAAAAGAAGTTAAAATCCAGAAAAAAATAAATGCTTCAAATAAATGTGCAGGAGTAACTGTGCACACGACAGACAGGAGGAGCAGAGCAGCAGAGTGGGTTCAGAACCACAGCTCCCAGAACAGCTCCCAGTAAGTCCAGTCGAAACACCAGGAAAAGTTTTGAAGCATAAGCAGTAGGCAAAAGACAACATGAAGCTAGACTGAGTTTGTTTAGGAGGATACTGTTGTTTTTTAAAAATTGTCTTCTGCTCTAGTTTCAACAAAAAGTCTAAGACACTAATAAAAGTAATCAAAGTCTGTGTGCTCAGCTCAGAGCTACAGGATTTTAATTACAAAAACATTTGGTGAAAGAAAACGCCACTGAAATTCAAATTTGTCTGTATTTTCTGCTGTACTGTCCAGTCTGAATTCGAATCTCTCTCTATCTGTATCAACCTGTAGTTATAGACTTATATGGTCATTTTTGAGAATGTAGCTACTTGTTGTCGTAGCTGTGGACTTTAATATGAAAAGGTGTTTCTGATACGGCTTTTCCTCACAAACTACGATAATAAAATCATCACTGAATCTCTAATTGAATAGTGTAAATAAAAATGACATGACAATATTACAAAATTATATAAATATAATTAATGTGCAGATGTTACTGTTTCATGTACTGTTCTACAAATCATTATAGTTGGGTTTCGGTGTGCCAGTCTGAGTCAATCATGTGAAATCAAAGAAAATATATTTAACTTTCAAATATACAGTCGATCCATCGTCACAGCCTCCACACTGAAAATAAATACCTGGCATAACATGTCATTTAGTCTCGTGTCACAGAGGTGAATTGAAACAAGATTATTACAGCAGTTGGCAAATATTCCTCATATTCAGAGAACCAGAAGACTGAAAAGGCTGAATGCCTCAATCTTTCCACGCTGCTCTTGGTTTCATTACATGTATCACCAGAATATATTCTGATGAAAGTCTGCAGGGACTGATTCAATGTGTAGGAATTCCCCTTTTAACAAAATATTCAGCTCCAACCTGACACATGTGTATAGAAAATACTGAGCATGGAAGTCTTTTTGTCTAACGTGCTTGAGGTCTGAAACTGTAATTTATAAGGTATTAACCTTGACAAAAGCACAAAACATATACAGTACCTACACACTGCAATCTTAATATCAATTCTTCTTTGATTCTACCAGGTGCTGTCAATGTTTGACAGACAAATGTATATCCTGAAACCTACTTTTTCTTTTTCTCTCTCTCAAGGTTCCTCAGTTTATGCAGTGATGAGGCGAGCAGACAGTTTTATGTTGGTGATAATGAGCCTAGTGCTGCAGTGTATGTGTGCATGTGTGTTTTTACACAGGCATTTTCACCAATCAGTCACAACATTAAAACCATCTGCCTAACATTGTGTAGGTCCTCTGACCTGTCGAGGTATGGACTCCACAAGACCTCTGAAGGTGTCCTGAGGTACCAGGCACCAAGACGTTAACAGAAGATCCTTTAAGTCCTGGAAGTTTCCTCCATGGATCCGATTTGTTTTTCAGCAGATCCCACAGAATTTGGAGGCCAAGTCAACACATTGAACTTCATGATTCTCAAAACCATTCCTGAACATTTTTTGCAGTGTGGCAGTGTGCATTATCGGGCTGAAAGAAGCCACTGCCATTAGGGAACACTGTTGCCATGAAAGAGTGTTGGTCTGCAACAATGTTTAGGTAGGTGGTGCGTATCAAAGCAACAACCACATGAATGTCAGGACCCAAGGTTTCCCAGCAAAACGTCGCCCAGAGCAGCACGCTGCCTCTGTTGGCTTTTCTTCTTATCCTCCCATAGTGCATCCTGCTGCCATCTCTTCCCCAGGCACATGCACCCGGTGGTCCCCATGATGTAGAAGAAAACATGATTCATCAGACTAAGCAACCTTCTTCTAGCGCTCCATTGTTCTGACGCTCACGTGCCCATTGTAGGTGCTTTTGGTGATGGTCTGACTGGTCTGAGGCTACACAACAATCTGTGATGACGTGTGTTCTGACAGCTTTCTGTCATAGCCAGCATTCAGGTTTTCAGCAGTTTGTGCTACAGTAGCTCTTCTGTAGGATTGGCCAGCCTTCACTCTCCATTTGTGTCCTTTGGTGCCCATGACCCTGTCATCACTTCACCGGTTGTCCATCCTTGGACCACTGGGTAGGCAGGTAGCTACTAATCACTGGATAATGGGAACAGCCCACAAGACCATTTTGGAGATGCTCCGACCCAGTCGTCAAGCCATCATAATTGGCCCATGTCAAAGTGGCGCAGAACACTTCACTTGATATATCCCATTGATTGACAGGTGCCATTGTAATGAGATAATCAATGTTAATCCCTTTGCCGCTCAGTGGTTTTAATGCTGCAGTTGATCAGTGTATGAGTGTTTTTACAGTTAAGTGTTCACATAAATCTATCATGTTTTTAAGATTCAGTCTCAGCAGACTGAGACTTTTACAGCACAAAAGCTGAGTGAAGCTGAGAGAAGCTGAGAGAAGCTGAGTGAAGCTGAGAGAAGCTGAGAGAAGCTGAGAGAAGTTGAGAGAAGTTGAGTGAAGCTGAAAGAATTTGTGCTCCATAAAATCCTAGAAGGCACCCCTGTCAGGTTCATGTTTAACACTGAGGACTGAATACTTTGATTTTCAGATCAGTTCAGTACCACCTTTAATTTCGTTTAATTTGCCCACAGTCAGAATTCAAAATGAGCTGTGTGATTGCCAGCAATCTCTTCAGGGTAACCTCAATAGTAAGAGATTGCTGCTATTAGGATGTTTCTGGTGTTGGTCTGACTCAGAGGAAGCAGCAGAAAGAGGTAAAAAGGCAGAAAGATGTTGGAGAATAAACTGAATTGATCAAATTACAGACATTATGGATCATTATGGATCAACCTGAGTTCATGTTTAGTTGTATGTGAATGTTTCATTAAATGTATGTTTGTGTTGGTTCCCAGGGGATTTGTGGGGTTTAGGTATGGTATCATATCACATATGACTTCAGTTTCCAATCGACAAGTAAAGCCTATCGATTGATTGATTAGTGTCTGAACGTCACTTGATCAGAGACACTATGGCAAACTGAAATGGGCCTTATTGTTGAAATGAATGGGACATCAGTGTCCTGACTGAAGAACAGGAAGAGTATATCAGAAGCGTGCTAACATAAGAAGTGCATCGATTTACAATACTTGCTGTTACATGTATTGTTAATGTGACTGATCTTGATACAAATGTTACATCATATCATTAAGCCCTTCCTTCTGATGTTGCCTAATCATTCAGATGAATCAATTAAGGCTGCAACTAATGATTATTTTCATTAGAATTAACCTGCTTATTCATCTTTTGATTAATTGCTATAGGTCTATAAACTGTCAGAAAATACAGTACAGTTATCTAATTTACAGTGCGATGTATTCAATTCAACACAATTCAAATATACACTTTGAAGGAAACATAATTGCAACTAAATTTCTATTTTAGTTTTTCTATTAACATAACAAGGATATTTTGTTAATTTACATATTTGGCAACTTGCAAAAAAAGTCAATACTGAACATGTTAGCAAACTGTTCAACAACAGTTCTGTTCTGAACACTACAGTGCCTGATTGATTCACACATCAATTGTTAATTTGAACAATGCTTTGGATTGGATGAGCCAGATCAATTTTCCAATAGAAGTCAATTCAGACTTCTACTTGGTCATTATCTCAGGCTGGAGTTTTGAACACAAGGGAAGCCTTTGGGGTAAACAGTTGTAATCTGCTGACCTTGAGAGTGCTGGAAGTGAATTGATCATGTTCAATGGTGATGAATTTTACCGTTCCTGATGTTAGATGATCCAATCGGTGAGTCTTTACAGGGTAAATGTCATGTCATGTCATGACTCATAGATATGTTTTAATGTTAAGTTATATCCAGCAGTCGTTTCAGTAAATGCCCCGAAACAACGTGTATGTTCAAGTGACAGTGACCTCTAGTGGCCGTAGTAATAATGATGAGAGCAAAGGTGGAAGTCAGGTAGAGTGGAGGTCACGGTGGCTGGCTTGACCAAACTTAGGACTTTGACACCGCAGACAGTTGTTAGTTTCCCAGTTCAAAAAACAGTGAATGTTGTTTCTTTGAACCACAATCATGATCATTTCACAACCTTAACCACCTGTTATTATTGTAACCATAACAACATAGGTACTCAGACCTTAACGAACGCACTTATTTGAACCCAAACATGATCTTTTACTAAACCTACCCAAACCTTCACAGCAGCAATGTCATAACATATCTGTGGCGTATCTCCTACTGCTGTGGAGGCGCAAATTCAGGAAATGCTCCGATGGGTTGTATGAGAGGGTCAGGACAGATGACTTGTGTGTTCGTTTAGGTTGGAGTACTTTCTGACTTTGCTGTAGTATTTGAATCGTATGCTTTTTGTATACTTCTATTCCACTAAAATTCTAATTTTCAGTCCACTACATTTGTCTAACGGTTGTAGCGAAAGGTTATTTTTCAGACTGACAGCATGTAAATAAGTGTAAATTAGGTGTAGTGTAAAGTTTTAAATGCAGGCCTTTATTTGTTATGGAGCATTTTTACCAGTCCTTCCCGTACATTGATTCATTTGTAGAGGCCACATATTGATTTTCTATTTCAAATGGATAAAATCGTATTTTTACCATCTCTCTCTGTGTGCCAGTCATTCAGGGTGTACAGAGCGTGCTGCGTGTGTCTGCCGGGACTGGGCTCAGTATATTTGCTGATGACACAATATGTAATCACCCCTCACTGACCAGAGTTGATTACATATTGTGACCAGTATTATTATAGCAGCCTTGAGTGAAGGATCTTAATACTTCTTCCACCACTGGTAATGGCTCTGGACACAGCACCTGCTGGAGTTTTATAAAATCCTCAGGTGCTGAAGAAAAAGTGAATAATTTTTTTTTTATGCAATGGCTGGTCCTGGCAAGGTTGTCATTTTAAATAAATACAAAAAATGCAAACCAAAAAGTAACCTTGAGAGTAAATTGCAAAGTGCTAACTGCAACAAAACACAATAAGAAAGAATGAAGCCTCAGGTGGCTGCTGTCTGACTCTCTGATTTGTTTATATACTGAAATCAAATGGAGCAGCTTTCAGCCCTACTGAGGCTGGACAAGTGTCTGCTGTCTGTTGAGGTCCAATGAAATTCAAAACACTTCCCCAGAAATTTCAACCTTGGTTCAAATTGAAGATCTTAGTTATCATTTTAGTCCACAGCCTCTGCTCATTCCTTATACACACACATTGTCTGCAAAATTCAAAGTAGGAAATGATAAAATTCCACTTTTCCAGTATTTTGCATTGTGAAAGAGTGACCTTTTATGTCTGTTAGATCACTGCTCTGATTGGCATAATCTCCCTTTTATAAAATTAGACATAAATCATAGTGTAGGTGATGTGAGCAGTGAAAGAAGAAGAAAAACGGAACTGATGAGAGAATACAGTGACAGAATGTGTGACAGACAGAGCATGTGACTGCGATGAAGAGAGCAGATATGTGTTTGTAGTGCTCAATCTGCTGATGTCTAAAATTTTCTTGGAAAGGTGCCATCGTCCTCTTCTATACGTCTCTCTGCAAACAGCTCTTCAGAACTTTTCTGTCTGCTCACCTTAAGAACCATTTCATTTCTAAAGCCTGAAAAAGTTTCAGTTTGATGACATTTTATTTTTCTCAGCTCTTTGAGAGTGAGGAAAGTTTCTATGGATTCTCTCTTTTCCCATTTTTTCACGATTGAGCTTCACTGACAAACATATTTTTTTGGTACAGGGTGCACACTCTGCAGGTGCCCACTAAACGGAAGCTGTACTCACTGAAGTGCAGATCTTGTAGCCCACTCCAAAGTCAAATCGACACTGCTCGTCCATCGAGTAGTTGATGCCGGGAAGTTCAGGAAGTTGTGGCCAGTCATGTTTGAAGGGGTCGTCCAGAAGACAGTCATAGGTGCTGTCAAATGAAAAAAAAAGGAACAGTAGTGTCACTTAACTCAAATGCAGAGTAACATGCCTTTATTTATAACAGGCTTATCATTAATCCCTCTTTAAATACATTTCATTAAGATGCCTCCTGTTTTAATTTGCTGCTGTTAATAAAAACTCCAGAGCTCCTCCATGTTTTCCTGCTGCCTTTATAAATTCGGAATAATGCACACTTCCATATTCATCCATCTGATGCTCTGAGTTTCTCCTGTTGACAGGTTTTTATTAACTAATAAGTTCCCATTACTTTATCTCCATTCTGTGTTTTCAACCTGCCTGAGCCTTGAAGTTGAATCACACACTTTAATTTATGACCTCATTAATTAGCTAACAAATCAAAAGAAAGCCATGTTTTGAAAATAGAAAGCAGATTAAATACATTTGGATTCAGCATTTTGAGTTCAGCTCAAAGTGAGCAGCAAAATATGCTACAATTCACTGTTGTTAGGTGGCTCCTAATTGCTCACCTAAGTGAATGTGCACCACTCTGATACCTGTGAATAGTCTCACTAATTGCTGTAGAAATTCAGCAACACCTTGTTTTCTTGTAGATTTAGGGGCATATTTGGCAGCATGTGGCAAGGGGGTGAAAAGTGGCTCAGTACCGGTGAAACCCAGCTGAGCTGTTCTTTTAAGGCGAGGGGCAGAGCTGAACACCGCTCATGGTCAGACGAGGCATACTGTGCCTGTTAACAACATCTCATACATCTCACCGCAGCAGCCCCCCCCCCAGCGACATCATCATTCTGCACTAACACTTTTCATACGATACATGGATTTTTCTCTGCAACACATCCACTTATAATAGCCGGGAGCTGCTGTAAAGAACATCATACTGTATGGGCAATTGATTGCATGTTGCCACTGTCATCTCCTTTTATGCACTGTCAATAGTTTGGCGTTTCACGCTCTGCTGAACGTTTGATTCTTTTACAGCTGTGTGTAAAACCTGATGTCTGTGAACCCAACATCAGCCATGCATGCCTGTGCTGTTTATAAATAACATGAAGCTTTTTACATCCAAGATATTTCAAATACTGAAGCGTATTAAGGGTGAATTGACGAGAAACAGCATGAGCTTCATCTACTTCTGCCTTTTAAACAGGTCATGTTTCTTTCAGGCGCAGTGAGGTTGGTTTCCAGACTCATGTTATCTGCACATCTCATTTTAAATTTAAATTAATGAAATTTAATGACACCTCTCCCAAGGAGCTTATGTTTTCATTTCAGAAAATTTATTTGTTTGTCTGTTAGTTGGCAAGATATCTAAAAAAGAATACTTCACAAATTTCAGTGAAACTTGGCATCAAATAAAAACATAGCAGATTTCAGGTAATCACCCAGAGAAACCAAATCCGGCCAGGCTGGATGGTCGGTCCAAGTAGGCGGGGCTTGGGGTGTGGCTGAGAGTCGTGAATGTTTTGATGTGACATCACAAAGTTACAGAGGTCCTGACGGCTGGTTTTAAGGCTCAGTTTCTGAATACAGGCTGTTTGCATTTCTTTGTGGACTAAGTGTTTTGATACTTTCACAGTATTAATATAGAACCTAGACCTGCTTTGTAATCAAATAAGACATGGACATCTACCTTTATACAATATGGGACCTTTAAATAGTCATAACTCGTAGTTTGGTACAATTTATTCTATAATAACTCTGATATTTGCTGGAAGGAGTTAAGAGTTCTACAAAAATGATGCTTCCTATCAGAAAGTTAGCAGGATTTTCTATCACTACATACATTTCAATGCAGGTGCAGAATAAGATTGAACATTTTCTGGTGTTGAATTGACCTCTTTAGTGAATTAGTTGGCTTTGTATGGAGGTATGAGCTCTGATTGCTTTCTGATCAAAGCCGTAATTTTAATTAGAAAACGCATGTGACTCTCTAATCATATTACATCCTTACTACTCTTGGCCTCATTCATTCAGGCTCCAATTCTACCACCTGATTCCTGCTGCCAACTCACAATATGGTAACACACCAAAATACTAAGAACTAACTAAAACCTATAAAGATATATTAAAGCAGTGCCACCTCTACAAAAATACTGGGTGTTTTTTTGCACCCACTCACTGAGCTGCAAACGTGAACTCACTGGATGTATCTCTTCAGCTCCTGTCCGCTGCACATGGACCAGTGGTATCGATGGAAGGCCGCCTGCACCAGAGGAGCCATCACGCTGCCCATCGTCGTTTCATCCCCGCAGCGGTTGCCTTGGCCGTCGTGCTCCATGCCTAACCTGCTCCCACAGGGAGAGACAAGCAGATATTTACATAGCTGCAAGATATCAACGTACACCAAATCCCCAAGGACTTTTAAGTAAATAAGATGCTTTTACATCAATGATTCATAATATATAATCTTGTATTATCTTGTGGTGGCCAGAAGTGGAAAAAAAACAAACAAATTATATAAAAAATTGTATCCAAGGAGTAATTTTTAAATTTTCTAAGATGTTTCACATTCAGCTTAACTCCTCTATAATAATAGTATCTTACACTCCAACTCTCCTTTCCATCTTTCTTGATATTTCAAAATATTTCATGACAGTGAAAATATATGATTCCTTTAGTCTTTCTTTGGGGACATATGACGAGAAATCATTTTCAGTTTATTGAAGAGAAAGACTTTGGAAGTGTGATGGTTAACCTGTCCTGATTTATTAGTAAACAAATAACTTTTACTTCAGTATAAAAATCTCGCTGTATTTCGTTTGAAAAGACATTTCTCAACATCTTTGTTGTTGTTGGCTTGTCACACTATTGTCTCAAGGTTTGGCACAAAAGGAAAAAATCTGCTTCCTTCAAGAATCGAGGAAGGTTTTATAAACACTTACTGTATTACCTTCATCCATTTAAAAAGAAGAATGTAAATGTCACATTGAACTAGATGAGACACTACCATTATCATGAAGAAAAGAAAAACAGACTTTTTAAAGTCTTGATTTGTTTGTAACTTCCAAGTCAAGTATTGAACTGACTGCGTATTTCCCACAGTTGATTTCCCATAACTTTACTGGACCTTTTATTGGACCTGTGTAAATGACTACAAGAACAGAGCATAGAAAGTAACAGTGACTCCCCTGAAAGGGCTGTGCATATATTGAATAACGTGCCCTGATACAGACTTGCAAAATAGAAATGATTAGTTTTCTGTTCAGCCAGGGGACATGATGCTGAATCAAAAACTCATGAATAAGAAAAAATAACATTTGCGAAATACTTTTGCAAAACTTAATTTAAACATTTAAATGAAGGCAGATGAAGTAGTATAAGCCTTCAGCACTGAGCAATATGTGGTGGCCAGAGCGTGATCCTCTTCACTTCCTGTCCACTGAAAGCACCTACTCACACCAAGAAAGGAAATCTGACAGAAGTAACGGCAGTAACAATTGAAACAGCCGACGATGGAAAAATATTCTCAAGATTTTGCCTCAAGTTTGACTCAAATGCCATCCATCTTTTTAAGGACATTTTGTTCCTTTAGTTGAGAGCGGACAGTCGACGGATGTCTGGAAATGAGAGGAGAAAGAGACGGAGGATCACCTGCAACAAAACTCTCTTTGTCAGAGTCAAACCAGGGGACACGTAGCATTATCAGGACGTTATGAAGACAACCCGATGTACTTTACTTAAGGAACAGAAAACTAGGATCAAAGAACATATTCAAAATGACTTTGAGTTGGGATTTTTTTTTGTAAAACTATTATTTCCAATGTTAAGAATAAACGTCCATACTTCCAAATAATGTTATGTAGCATGATTAATATTTATTATGAAATTATTTGGTCATGTGACTGAAGCCAGATAAATACTTGCCAAATAGACTTTTTAATGAGTGAAAATTGATTGAAAAGTGATTGATGTAGATTTATCTTCGAGGACCAGATTCTGAAGAAACTCTGCTGCTGTCATGTTGCCTGTGAGGGGGGACTTACAAGGTCATTCATTTAATTGTTATTAATATCAGACAACTTGCAATATACAGCCTCAAATAGCTTCAAATAATTGGTTTATGAACCGGACAGATGGTGTTTGCGTCTCTTTGTTTAGTGTGTTTTGGTTTCATGTCGCTCCTCTGGGCTTTACCAATCAGTATGCATCATTTGTCATCATGGCCGTCCTTCCCATCACACACTCGGCTGTCATACTCATCGCACTAATGTCATTTTAAAAACCTGCAAACACAGCATTAAATTTCCTTGTGGTTGTGAGAAAACATGTTTGCAGCACAATTTATAGATTCAAAAATTTTTTCCAATAATCGCAAAAACAACATTTTGGATTTTCAGCCGATATTAGGGATTTATTCTTTGCTGTTCTCTGACCTGACCAAAGACAATGATGTGCTCATTGTGCACCACTGTACATGCTGTAATGTCCTTGCCCTGAATGACAGGTCACGTTTTGCCAACATACAGTGAGCATCAATAAACACTTGTGTGAGCGGATGAGGTGTCGATATCCTATGCTCCAGTGTCACCAACTCAAACTCCTGCTCAGTTATTTTTAGAGATGCATGAAATGTTCTGCTGCTCTTCTATCAGCCTTTTAACTTGTCTCTGCTCCTGATATTTTGTTGTGTTCTGCAAACATGTGCAAGATTAAGAAATAAAAACTTTTAATCTGGTTTTTTATTTTTATTTTTCCAGATAATGTCTCTGTAGATGTGGTGTGGTGAGTGAGTAGATTCTCATATAATCATATCATGAAGATAAAATCAACTGTCATTGGTAAAAGTAGATGAGAACTAAACTGAATGTGCTGCACATATACAGCAAAAACAGAATATCAAGCCTTATAGCATAGTATTGTTATTATCTTTATGCAAACCTCTGGGTGAGGGCAAGTTGAACCTTGAACATTTATTGCTCTATTTATGTCTTTTAAGTCCTTTCACGACAGTAGGAGCAGACAGTTCCTCTCCATTCATATAATCTATCGTATTTAGTTAACTTAAGCATCAGACAACAGGAAATACTCATTTCTAAATGGCCAGCAGACATTAGTTAAAAAACATTTATCAAGAAACTTCAAACATAAGTTTGAGTTAATATTAAAGTGCTATTCTAAGTGTGCAAGTTCTATTAAACTGCAGAAAATCATAGCGACAGTTCATCTGCTTTGGGCTTTCAATTAAAGCATGAGTTCAGGGTTAAGTATGTTTGTAAGGAACCAACGGGAATTGACTGTAGAATTCTAGTGGATTATTCTGAATGAATTTGGAGTTTAAATATGACACAGAAATTCATTTAATATCAACTTCTATGGGCTTTAATATTGTCTAGTGAAGTCTGATGTCTCAGTGACGGTCGGCCCCTTGACGACCTCGCATATTGGTCATGGACCACTTTGCTTTAGAGAGAAGTTTTTCTTGCATTTAATTTAATTCCTTCTTTGTCTCTGTCGGAGAACAGCGCTGCTCTGATGACACGTCATTGACAGATGTACTGTTCACAACTGTTTTGTCTAATTCTTATGTTTTTGTTTGCTGGTTTCTGACGGGACATTGTGAGATTCTTCTTTTCACTCTTACTTTCACACAAACAAAGGCTGTCTTATATGACAAATTTAGAGGCGCTGATTAAGCTAATGATCAAGTCTCATGAACTCGTCGTACCTCATTGTGACAGATGCAGATGCTCAAAGACTCAACCCGGCTCTCAGCACAGTGTGCTGTGTGGGTGACTGTGTTGGGCTCAGCTTGTTCATGACTTCCTCTTTGTTGGTTTTTTCTCAAGTGTGTTTCTTCAGTGTCACCACGTCTGTCCTCTGTTCTCTTCTCGGCTGATTAAATCCATGTCCCCTCTGACTTTTTGATCCTCTGAGAGGCTGTTGAGCCTCTGTTGGCTGAAGTTTTGTTTCCATGCAGCATAATAATGTGTCTCAGATATCATCAGGAAGTACTGCATGTTTTCAAATGGACTACATTTTCAGAAACTTACTTTATTGTTATAAAACTACAGTCACAGCTTAAATGTGTACTCTTCGTAAATCTGTCGTCACATGATTAATGTGATGTGCAGTTACCTAGGAACAAAGGGTGGCTTATGTTGATTAAGGATTAACTCTGTCTGAGGAAATGATGATCTGACGCTACTTCGTGCCATCTTTAAAAAGTCCCGTTAAATAAAAAGTTCTTACCACGGGAGCTGGGTAATTAAAAACAAAGAGGGCAAGTCTAGGATTTCTTATCCTTTGTTATTGATCACTGAAGGCATCAGTGTGGGGGGTAGATCCTGAAGCTCAATCACTGCTGATCTCATCACAGAAATATAATGACTCCTGGTTTGAAAGTTGATCATTTGCATTGTATTCCTGAGGCTTTTATGATATAAAGTAGCTTGTTTTCCAACAAATATCCCACTGAGGGGCATACAGACGTATAGTACAGATGTTTAGGACAAATTTTTACAAGAAGGAATGTGAAAATGTAATAGTTAAGACCTTTGAGAAAGGCGAAGAGCTAGCAAGTAGCTATGTAAGTAACACAAGTAGTGTTTGACTTGGAGCACGGACGGGTTTAAGAGAGGTGGACATGGAGTTTCATGTGACGGAAAAGCCTTTCGTTATCAAGGTACACAGTCTGAAGGACAAAATTGAGCAATGGTTACAAGGGAGAGTGAAAAGGGCGGAAAGATGATGAGGCCAACTCATGTAGAAAACATCACTTCAGTGAGCATGAAGGAATTATGATGCAGCTGTTGACACCAGCTACCCAGAAAAACCTGAAGACTGAACAAACCAAATATAAGGATTGTTACCAACCAACCTGTTCAGATCTTTAAGGCTTTGGCAGTCAGGGAAGAGCACAGACCTCACAACACACCACACTAGACAACACACTGTGAGCAGCTGAAGACAACCCCACAATGAAGTGACTAGCTGTAGACCTTTGTTTAATTTCTTTCCTCCATTCCCTGTCGTCTCTCCACTGGCACTATCCACTGAAAAAATTCATAATCTAAGTGTCAGAGGCTGATGACATCCTCATGGTTACATTTCATTTACATTATACTTTGTCAGGAGTCGTCACGATGAATAAATTGGCTTTGATATGCAAAAGCTCCGAACAACCTCTACACCACTACACACTGACTGACTTATGTCTGTGGACTCGCTACTACTCAGCAGAAACCAAATAAACTGAGGCTGTGAAAAATGAAAGATTACTGATTGAAATACAAACATATCTGTGAACAAAATCAGCCACACACAGACAGATGGGTGAAACATTAAACAGGATGACAGCGCCCCCACCCACAGGACACGAGGGGGATGAAAATGATGCAACGCTTATGCTGTGGCCTTCACAGTCACCAGATCTCAACCCAAATGAAAACCTATGGGACATTTTGGACCAACGTGTCTCTCCACCATCATCACAACACCAAATGACTCTCTTTTGGAAGAAAGGTGTTCGTCCCTCCAGCAGAGACTTCCATTGAATATCTGTATATCTCTGCACAATCTGATCCATAGCGCTTCACTAGCAGTACTTAAAGTCTCTATTGTGTCTGCCTCATGGAGCCACTTATCTCCTCATCTTAGTAACACTAAAAATAAAATGAAAACTTAAAAAATACACCCTCTTTATTTCCTTCACTTAGCTGCTCTTCAGTGCAGAAGCTTAGAAGCTGTCTCAGGATTTTGGGAATTGCTTTTTTTTCCCTTTACAATTATTTAATCTGGAAATTGAATTCAAAGGATCCTCCAGGATCACCTCTCAGTAGAAGAAAACTGTGTGTGTGTGTGTGTGTGTGTGTGTGTATACAGTACAGCCCCAGGTTTCCACATGATTTATATATATATATATATATATATATTTCTTTCCAGGCAAAGTCTATTGATCCCTGAAGATGAAATCCTCTCTTGTCCCGAGGGACAAGCAAGCGTGAAGTTGGAGGATTGGGTGTCTCGCTCAGGGACCGTCTCATCCCGTTGACTCTGTCAAACAGCAGCTGCTCCTGCTGAAGGACAGCTTCACTTTTCTCTTCAAATATCTGGTCTTGAGTTTCCGTCTGCTCATTCATCCTGTCAATCATTCAGTCATACGTGTTCCCACCTGTGGCATCACCTGACCTGCTCCTCCTCCCCACTCACCTCGTTCTCTCTCCAGTGTATATACACCAGTCTGTTTCCACTTTCTCTGCCAGATTGTCTTGGTGCCATGTGCCTTAGCTTTCCAGCACTCTGATCTTTGCCTGCCTGTTTTGGTCCTGATTCTGTTTGTGTTTTTTGGATTTTGCCTCAGCCCGGCTCTTTGTACTTTGTTCGCCTGCTTGGATTTTTGCAGTTGCTGTTGAAAAGTTGGCTGATAAAAAAAAAAAAAAAAAAGTCCTGTTTGTGGTTCTGTGGTTCTGAAGAATTTTGATTATTTCTGTTGCCTGATGTTTCTACGGTGCTTGTTTCAAAAGTTTGGTTTGAAGCACTTGAATCGGGACCTTCACCTGCAACACGTGCATAATTGCTCTTTTTTTGATAATGTGAAATAGCTTGAAAAGAGCAAGAAAGCGGAAAAACAACCTTACGTGACTAATTTATTATTGTGTAGTCCAGTCCATCCAGGTTTCAGTGCAGAGCCACAGCTCATCTGAAGCCTTCCTCAAACTCGCTCTACTTTTTTCTTCTTGCTTAGTGAGAATCTTTGAGGTCACCACAAACAACAGAGCTTAAATTTCACAGTGTACAATATTCAAACGACGTAGCTGAATTTTTACTTTGCTCAGTTTGTTAGTAGAGACTAAGAAGCGTATTATTTTTCTGCAGTCAACAAGAAAATAACAAGAACTTTTGTGGGTCCTAAACAGGCGACAGGTGAATGTAGTGCACAAATAGTGCGTGAATTTAATACATCCAAGCTTCATCCTTAATTTAGTCCTTTTTCCTGTTTCCTTGCTTGTTCTTTGTCACAATAATGAGCAAGGCAAATTCAACCTGCATGTTTTGATGGTCACATGCCCGAAATTCCTTTCAATGGGATATGAGGGTTGCCTAGCGACATGACTCTTATTCAGTCTGAATCTCTATTCAGCGTGTTGCCATGCATTTCCTCAGTCAGTGAATAAATATAAATACTTATTTGTGATATTTCCTGTGGTCAGTCATCGCAGGTTTCAATAACTTCCCCTGTTGCGCTTCCCGCTCATGTGAGTGCGTGCGTATGATGCTTTTGTGAACTTTAGTTTAGACGTGAAGCATGTTGCAGGACATGTGGACTATGCGTGCGGACAGATAAACTGACAAAATATTACAAGCGTTGGCTGAGTCCTTGTGTTTTTTGACTTGCTCAATAAACAAACCATGAAATTCAATAAAGGCTACCATGTTTGTTGTCAAAGTGCTCAAGGCCAATCTCCTTAAAGGTCCCCAGTGTCACTTAATATAGAGATCACAAGGAGAAAAAAAATGCCCCAGGGAGATAAAACATGTGCAGCTGTGGTATAAAGCAGAAGGACAGTCATTTCCCCTCAACTACAAAACAATGTCACCTTAGGAAGAGGAATGCGTATGTTGAGGAGCTTCCAACACCCTCACACACAAAGAAGAAACAACATAACAAGAGGAACCTACACATGTCCGGTCTCGTGAGCCACGACGAAGGCTGAGGAGAAGCCGTCCTCGTGGTTGAGGGTGCAGCTCCGCACAGGGTGGCACATTCCCGTCACTGGAGCATAACCTGATGGACACAAGGAGAGAGGGGGGAGGTTACCGTCACAGACTGTTAAATGAGAAATGTCAAGAGAAATTGACTTCTTTTAAATAAATAAAACTGTCCGAGATCTTGTTTGTGTCGACATAAGCAGCTGTACAAGAACTTTACAACATTTTGTAAACATTTTGTAAAATAATGACATGTTAATAAATTATTCAAAGAAACATATTGAAAAGTATTGTAGTTTTGCTTGTGGTACATAAAATTAAGTATCATATGGAGACTAGTGCTGACAGTTTAAACCTATACCAACATTAAATACCCAAAGGTGAAAACACAGCATGCACATAGCTTCAGGACAAAGTTGACCAATCTGAATTTCACCACTTTATTCTGCACATGTTAACAAACATGCTAATGTTTCGGCCAAGTGGACTTCACCAGTAAAATAGCTAGTAAGGAAGGATGCATTCATATTCTGATTTACAGAAAGCCCATGGAACTCAAAAATTATCCTCCCCAGCAGCAACCACCCAAGCCATACATACCAAAGGGACAGATCTCACGACTAAGGAGAAAAGGCTCAGTACTGGATGAATTCAAATGCAAAGTAGATGAGATGAAATCAAAATTCTATAAAAGAAATTTTCATATATCCATAATAAACGAAGCTTAAAACCATGCTGTAATATCTTCAAAGTTTGAGTTTCTTAATCTGAAGAAAGAATAACTTTCACAACTGAATTCAATCACTGTCATCAGAAACTTTGGGACATAATCGACAGACACTGGCACATCCTAAGTGCAGAACCATGAAATCACTAAATCCACCTCCTCCTATCAGTCTGACCACAATCAGAGACAACCTTGTACTTTTCAATCTACCAAACCTAATCATACTTTGTTCCATCTAAAAGGAAACTTCAGATGTGGAAAGGGCAGTCATGACTGGGGAGGTAGAGCAGGTTGGCCACTAATCGGACAGTGGGTGGCTCGATCCTCGGCCCCTCCAGTCCAAGTGTCCTTGGGCAAGATAATGAACCTGGTGATGTACCATTGGTGTGTGAGTGTGTGTGTGTGTTACAGAAGCACTATGTGTAGAACAAGTGCTGTATGAAGTGTGTGGATGGGTAGTGTAGTGTAGTGGAAAGCTCTTTGAGTGGTTGTTAAAAATTGGAGAGCTCTATATAAATGAAGCCCATTAATCACTGTAACTGTACTACCACTACAACTGATGTCCAGTTTTCTTTTTAACTGCGTCACAACATCTACAGCCAATCACTATCATGAAGCCAAACACGGCTCCACAGCCACTCTGCACTTAATTGGACGTGAACATGTAACACCTCCAGCCAAATCTATACTCTGAGAGAGACGTACTGGATCTCAGTACTCAACACAATGACACCTGCTGGACTGAATGATGATCTCACTTTTAAATGCTTCCTCTGAACAAATTTAAAAAGAGAATGAAAATTGCAGAACCTGTAACCTCAGCTACAATTGTTAACTTGTATGGGATTTACCACTTCACCTGCTTTTAATCATTGTCATAATATCAAGGAAAGATGTATATGGGACAGTAGAAAGTCAATTACCATGTGACCCTTTAAAAGTGCTATTTGTAAGATTTCTCTGCCACCAGACGTGGTTTCTTGCCAGGAGCAGGTGGTGGTGATTTTCGCTTGACAAGAGCATTGGCCATTATTGTCTTTATAATACAAGAGGTTATAATTCGCCCTCTGAGAAGCGCTACATCTCCAGGGCAGATTGAAGGCTAAAGTGAGGTACTATTGGAAAGTGACGCGACGGGCCGGGGCTAGTTGGTTAGCATGCTAACTTCAGTAGAAGTTAACATTGGTGTTGCTTTCCACCTCTGGAAACAGCTGTTGGTGAGTAAAGGAATGAAGTTTGATGCTGAACTCGCAACATTTCTTCTAGACTGATAAGCTGACAGCTGTTAATGCTAATGTTAGCTATGTAGCAATAGGAAAACTTACAAATAGCTCCTTTAAGCTAGTCACGTGCTAACTCCTGTATATAGATGACATGACTTCTATTTTCTATTTGAAAAAGTCTCATGTTTCCCATCACTGTTGACGTTTTCCAATTTTTAACCAAGATTACAGTTTTTCTCAACGTTTCACCAAGTGCTTTAAGTTATTTAAAGATAATTATATAAAAGTTAATCATACTTCTGGCTGCCAGGAGAAGATACTGTCAAGAGAAAAACTAAAAAAAATTACAATATAAACATTTCCTTGTTATGCAGATAAAAGAAAACTGGCAGCAAGATTTTCCCTACAATTAATAATTTGTACTATTGTCCCAATACAATGGAGGCGACAAGAGTGTTATTGTGGTGATCAAAACACAGAAAAATTACTTCAGCAGCTTGATGTTCCAGAAGCATTGTTATTTTTACTTTGGATAATTAACAGACCTTGTTATCGGCAAATCTCAGTGACACTACTTATTCCCTAAGAAATAGTCTGTAATGTCTGTAGATCATCCGTAACCATGACACTGTTTTGGCAAAACATGCTGCTGCTGAGTTTTTCAAATATAATTCTTCAATGCTTTGAGCCCCACAAAAGAAATTCCATTCACCTCCAGTGTATTAAAGTGGAGGAACCTTTAAACAGGACAGATCTGTGTGTACGTCTGTGTGAATACGCTCTGTGTGTTTGGATGTGTCACACGTACATCATGATTGTGAAGATATAAGTGATGCGGAGCTGTGCTGCTCAACAGGAAACAGATATTACAAACATGGTAGGGCGGACACACACACACACACACACACACACACACACACACACACACACACACACACACACAGTTGGGGATTCAGGAGGGAAGGAAGGAAGTGTTGTTCCTTTTGTCAGCTTCATGATTATTAAACATTATTAAAATTCATATTTTCACTGTCCTACTACTTCCTGATACGCTTTCTTTGCAAGATGTTGCATCACTCGCTGGGACCACATTGTTCACATCAGTAACTGAGGGTATGCAAGGAACAAACCTGAACTGTGCCAGAATTAGAATAAACACATGTATCCTCATTTAGTCCTCCCTCTGTGCTGGTCTTTTGTCATTTTATTGACAGTTACACAGCTACTGTAGCTGCAACATAATGGACAGAGACTAATCTTGTTTGACATTATATTACTTCAAACCACAAATGCTGATATATTTTACAAGAAGTGAACCACACACTACCAGGCAAAGACAGACATCAGGGAGAATAGATTTTGGCACAGCACTGCTAATATACATTTGGCACAATGCCACTGATAATGCCCTGTCCTCATGTAAAAATAAATTCATTGATCATTTTGGACATCAATCTACAAACAACCATTTTCATTTTTGAATAAACTTTGGATGAGTTTCCTATCTACAGGATGTTTGCTTGATGAAAACTTGTTACTGAAACAAATCTGTAAATGCAATTAAATTTTGGCTTATCTTGTTTAGTTAAACTGAAGCTATTTATGCATTTGTTGGCAGAGCATAAGAGAATTGTGTCAGATTTTCTGTTCTGTCATTGGGAAAAAAATAGAAATCCCAAAACATCAAAATCTGCAATCAGACACAATCAGACACAACAGCAGCCGCGCATCAGCGGCAGTTCAAAGGATAGTAGCTGGGTGTCAGTCATGTGATCATGAATCATCTGCACAGTATTTATTTTGTACTGTAAGAATGGTTCAGAGAAGTGTGCAGACCAATTGAATAACAACATGGTAGTGTCCGGGTTATCATACATGAAAACAACATGCAGACTCATGTGACTCAGAGTCAGAAGGTCTAATAATCATAAAATTAAAGTAAATATTGATAGTCCCTGATAAATATCTACAACCCAGGAACTTGGACGTTCCAGGAACACTCTGGGCTCCCTGATCACACAGGCTATTTTACACCAAAATTAAGGTGGAAATGTGTCCTTTTTAAACGCAGGTAAAACGCTTAAAAGGGCGATTGACACCTTTCCCACTGCTAGAAACTGTATCTGAAAGGTTTAAGGACAGACAGAAACTCATTGAAAAGGCCTTGATCACCTAAATGAAGTTTAGAAGATGTGTTGTCAATGAATGGTAAATACCTTGCCTTAGTTTTTGTATCACTGATTTCTCTTAAGACGTTGTTTTGTAAAGAGCACACAACAAAGACAGACGTAAGAGTTGAGACACATGGTTTGAAGGCTGATAAGAATCCTTGTTTTTCTTGATGAAGTAAGAATAGTGTTGTCAACCCACAATAAATGTTTCCTGACAAAACAAATGACCTTGGCTTTCAGAAGCACTCTGTACAGTACACTTGACGTATAGATGAATATGGATTCAAAGTTTTCAGACAACTGCTTTTATCTTCGACTGAGACAAATGTGCTCAAGATTTCACTCAGAATTCAAGACGAATCATAAGATTTTTCCCACTTATTTTGTTTTATATCTAATTAAGTGTCATGAGCATTTCCATGAATGGGTCGATCCCTGGGATTAAAAAGATAGTAAACAAGATGGAGACGGGTAAACACTTATCTCAAGCCAGGGTCACAAATGAACAAAGGCTCTGGGCAAACGCATCCTTAAAAATCAATAAATGATGTGTGAAGGCAGCGTCTGCCACTCAAGACTCGGAAAATGCTGAGGTTTTAATTCACACAACACACAAATATGCAGCGCCCTGCATACCTGCAGCCAGTATAAGCAGAAAACGCTCAACCAACACAGATCACAAATTCACATAAACGCCAAAGAATGCCAACGTCAAACAAACACATGTATTTCTCCTCAGCAAATGTCACAGGAGACCCAGCGACTGATCACTAACATATTTCAGTATTTCATTTTATTAACTGGATATAAATGAAGCCTATTATGTGATTGTGTTATTGTGTTTTAAATAAAAGTACAGGAAATAAATAGAGCTGATGTTTATGTTATGGCCTTCAGCTATAATTATTTAGCATTAAACTTTATTTCTGAGATATGTTTTTTTGTCTTCAGTTTG